ATTATTTTCTCCTTTCATTTTTCCTGTTCTCTCTTTCTGGAACTTCTATTAGATATTGGACCCGTTGGATCAATTCTCTAATTTTATTATATTTTTTTTATTTTTGTCTCCCTGACCTACTTTTAGGGGAATTTTACCAAAATTTTAACTTATGCCACATTAAAAAAATTTTTTAGAGGTCTTTCTTATTTTTGGAGTGTTATTTCTTTATAGAGAGAGCATCCAGTTCCTGTTTCATAGATGCAATCTCATTTTATCTCTCTAAGAATACTACTTTGAGTTTATTTGAAATTATCTTTTGCTCCCTGAATTGTTTATGTTTCTTTTTCTTCTTTTTTTCCATTAGTTTGTTTTGAACTCTCTCGTCATGTGGGAAGCTTTCCTCAAAAGTCTGGATGTCCATTAGAATGACCGTTAGGATCAGCACGCATGGCAGGAACTTGGCTCATCAAGTGGTGAGTCAGTGGGTTGCCAGGGAGCTTTTAGGTTAGAGACTCCTATATGTCAGAATCTGGAGGTCTTTTCTCTGAGTGGTTCAGATTGCGCAAATGAGCTCCAGTTGCCTTCTGGGAAAGGATAAGCCTGGCTACAGACTCTTTGCGGCAAGGCCAGGGAAGGGGGCAGCGGTCTTGCTGTTCATCTGCCCACTGTCACCAAACTCTCTGCCTGCAGCTAAGGGGCAGCTCATTCCCTGCACTCCTCCATGCTACCGTCCATGAGTCTGGAGCCTCTCTGATGTAATTTCTCCAGATGCTACACCTCCTGTCTCCAGAGGAAGGGAGAGAAGGCAGTTAGCTGAGACTGAGCAGGATGAGGGTGGCAACCTAGAGGTCTGTTTCATATACAGACTTTCAACCAAGCCCCGTTTCAGTCTCCTGCTTTCTGCAGTAGCTGAGGCATCCAATTCCTGAGATTTTCTGGGATTGTGGGAGAGGACTGGTTTGCCTCTCACTAGATTCTCCTTTTCCAGCACTTGGGTCTGATCTTTCTCCATCTTGCAGGGCTCATTTGCATTCTTCATCCTCCTTTCCACTTTGTATATTACAGTTTGGGACCACAGATGTTACCTTATTTCACTAAATATGGATTTGCCACTTCTGCTTCTTGTTTTCTTGTACTTTGGGGGTGATTTTGGTGGAAAAGAAAGGGGTGAACATGCGATTATTATACAATAATAAAAACATATCTAAACAGTTTTTTTCCTTAATTTGGCTGATTTGCTGATGTTTAAAAAATCATGACATCTCATATAAACAAGAGAATGTTATAATTTTCTTGAACTATCAGAAGGTCTGACAACACTGGGCCTTTATCATTTCCCCCCTGGTAGCAGCTGGAGCTCGGGAGCAACTGTCCCCTTTAAACACAGCATGGATGTTCCCATTTCCGCAGTCCCCACCACTCCCAATTGTCTCAGTGTGCTTTTGCTTCTTTACATTACCTGCCTGGCTCCTGTAGGCATTTGAGTTTGCATTCCCTGCCAATGCCTCTCAGGGGAACAAGTTAGTGGGAACTCTTCCTACTATGGCTGTGGGAAGAAGACAGCCACGGGAGAGGTGAGGCCTGCAGAAGGAAGAGTATGCTAGGGGTCAGACCAAAGTGGGGAGGAAACTGAAGAAGGTGAGAGAGCTCTGGGGACAAAACTTTCACAATTTAGGATAATTAGTGCCCACTTCCTGGGGTTGTTGTGAGGATTGAGAGAGTCAATATGTGGGAAGTACTTCAAATGGTGCCTGGCACCTAGTATGTGGTGCCATGTTGGTTTATTATTATTTGTTTTGTTTGGTTGGGTATAATTTACATACAGGAAAGCTCTGTCTTTAGTGTATGGTTCCATGGGTTTTGACAAACATATAGTTATGTAATCACAACCACAATCAAGATGTGGAATATTTCCGGTACCCACTCCACACACACACAGAAGCTTCCCTCATACCCCTTCCTTCCACCCCAGCCCCTGGCAACCACAGATACGCTTCTTGTCCCTACTGTTTTGCTCTTTCCAGAATTCCATACAAATGGAATCTTTCAGTACGTAGCCTTGAGTCTGGCTTCTTTCATTCAGCATAATGTATCTGAGATTCTTCCCTATTCTTCAGTGTCTCTGTAGTTCATGCCTGTTTATTCTTTTCTTTTTTAAAAAAAAGATTTTATATATCTATTTGAGAGAAAGAGAGAAAGTGAGAGAGAGAGAGAGAGAGAGCACAAAGTGGGGGGGAGGGTCAGAGGGAGAAGCAGAATCCCCGCTGAGTGGGGAGTCAGATGCGGGGCTCGATCCTGGGACTCTGGGATCACGACCCCAGCCAAAGGCAAAGGCTTAACCAACTGAACCACCCAGGCGCCCCTGTTTAAAAAAAAAAAGATTTATTTAGGGGTACCTGGTGGCTCAGTAGGTTAAGTGTCTGCCTTCAGCTGGGGTCATGGCACGATCCCAGGGTCCTGGGATCGAGCTGTGCGTTGGGCTCCCTGCTAGGTGGGGAGTCTGCTTCTCCCTCTCCCTCTGGCCCTTCACATGTGCTCTCTCTCTCTCTCTCTCTCTCACTCACTCTGTCTCTCAAATAAACTAAAAAATTTTTTAAAGATTTATTTACTTATTTTAGAGACAGAGAGCTCGATCACAGGGGGGCGCAGAGGGGGAGGGAGAGAGAGAGAGAACCCTCAAGCAGACTCCCCACTGAGCGCAGAGCCCAACACGGGGCTCAATCCCAGGGCCCTGAGATCATGACCCAAGCCAAAATCAAGTCAGCCGCTTAACCGACTGAGCCACTCAGGCGCCCCTTTTCCTGTTTATTTCTGAGTAGGATTTCGTTGTATGATGTACCACAGTTTGTTCATTCACTCGGCAATTGAAGGTCATTTTAGTTGTTTCCAGCTTGGGGTGATTATATAGATAAGGCCACTATAAACATTTATGCACAGGCTTTTGGACATTTTAATTTCTCTTAGATAAATACATGTAGGAGTGGGATTTCTGGGTTGTTTGGTACATTGATGTTTAACTTTATAAGAATCTGCCAAACTGTTTTCCAAATGGCTGTACCATTTAGCTCCCCAGCAGCAGATGAGTGTCGGAGGGGTGGGAGGGGTCTGGTTGCGCTGCATCATCCCTGGCGCTTGGCGTGGTCTATCTTCTCAACTATTCCAGTGGGAGTGTCCTGGCGTCTCACTGTGCTTTGAACTTGCATTTCCCTAATTACTAATGATGTTCAGCATCTTTCATGTGCTCATTTGCTTGCCATATATTTTCTTTGATGAAATATCTATGCCAATATTTTGCTAGGTTTTCTTTTTTTTTTTTTTTTTTTGGCAGGGGTGTTTGCTTTCTTGTTATTCACTCTTTTTTTTTTTTAAGATTTTTATTTATTTATTTGAGAGAGAATGAGAGACAGAGAGCACGAGAGGGAAGAGAGTCAGAGGGAGAAGCAGACTCCCTGCCGAGCAGGAAGCCCGATGCGGGACTTGATCCTGGGACTCCAGGATCATGACCTGAGCCGAAGGCAGTTGCTTAACCAACTGAGCCACCCAGGCGCCCTCTTGTTATTCACTCTTGAGAGTTCTTTATATATTCTAGATACAAGTCTTTCATCAGATATGTGTTTGGCCAAGATTGTCTGCCAGTCTGTGGTTTGTCTTTTTATCTCCTAACAGTGTCTTTAGCAGAGCAGAAGTGTTGAATTTTGATGAAGTCCAATTTTATTAACTTTTTCGTTCATAGTTAGCGCTTTGATGTCATGTTTAAAAAAGCTCTGCCTAGGGCGCCTGAGTGGCTCAGATGGTTAAGCGTCTGCCTTCGGCTCAGGTCATGATCCCAGGGTCCTGGGATCGAGTCCCGCATCGGGCTCCCTGCTCCTTGGGAGCCTGCTTCTCCCTCTGCCTTTCTCTCTCGCTCTGTCTCTCATGAATAAAAAAAAAAAAAAAAAAAAAAGCTCTGCCTAACCCCAGTCACAAAGATTTTCTCCTGTTTTCTTCTAGAATTTTTAGAGTTACATTTGGGTCTATGAGCCATTTTGAGTGAATCTGGCTATAAGGCACAGGGATGGACTGAGGTTCATTCCTTTTGCAGGTGGATGTCCAATTGTCCCAGCATCAACTGTTACATATTTGCAGTGAGTATCAACACTATCAGGATCCCCAGCGCTCGGGGGGCTGGCCGTCAGCAAGAGGGCATCCTGGCCCCACGTGTCCCTCAAATCTAACAGCCGGGGGCCCTGTTGCAGTTCTTTGCTGGCAGAGGAATTGGTTTCGGGGTACTTTACCTCCTCTCTCTCTTCCTGCATAAAACAAACCATGAAAGGGCAGGGGTGGCTTAGCGGTCTGGCAACGTCCCTTTGAAAATAAACAAGTGCAGAAACTGAAAGCCAGTGGCCATCTCTGGGGACTACTTGGAGAAACAGTTTGGGGCCGGTGCATCCGCTGCGCGTGGCTCTCCTGCCCCCGCCAGCGGCAGGTCGGATGCAGCAAAGCCAAACAGGATCCTGATCGTTTCAGATGTCAGCTCTGGCCAGGGAGACCACCCCCACCTCCAGGCCTTTGCAGAGAGAGGCCACGCTGGTGCGCAGTGTCTAATCGTGGGGGAAGCCGGAAGAGGTCCAGGCTAAACGGCCCTCAACTGTTTGCACAATCGGCCCCATGCACCTACGGAGCGGCGACCTCTCTTTTATAGATGGGGAAACTGAGGCAGGGGGAGCTGTGTGTGTGGGTGTGGGTGTGTGTTTGTGCACGCGCGCGCACACACAAAGAAATAGATGAGTGTGAATTTGGGATTTTGGGGGGACAGCTTTATCGAGGTATAACTTACATCCCATAAAATTTCACCCACTTGGAAGCATACAACTCCGTGAGCGTTAAAGAAATTCACACAGTTGTGTGATCCTGCCCACAATCCAGTGTTAGAATATTTCCATCACCTCCTGTCCTTTTGCAGTCCATCCTTGCTGCTCCCAGTCCCTGACAACCCAGGCTTTACCTTCAGTCACCAGAGTTTTGCTTTTTCTAGAAAGTTCATGTAAATGGAATCATGCAGTGTGTAGTCACAGTGGGATTTCAAGCCAGAATCTAACAAGGAAGCCAGAGAGCTAGGACTACAAGCACACAGTTACCAAAGGTTTTCCCCACCTGCCGTGTCTCCAAACCTGCACATCTTCCAAATGAGCTATACATGGGTCCCCTTCTCAGGGTTGAGGCCAGGCTGAGACGAGATAAAGGGGGTCCAATATCTTGCAGAGTCATCATACTCCATGGAAACTGGAAACAGACCGAATGGCCAGCAGCAGGAGAATGGGTAAGTACCTTGTTGTGTCTCTGCCCTGTAGAATCTTCTTTAGCGAGGAGAATGGACTCCAACGACGTGCAACCATATCGATAAAGCTCACAAACATCACACTGAGTGAAAGAAGCCAGATACAAAAGAGCACATCCTGTGATTCCATGAACAGAAAGGTCAAAACCAGGCAAAACACACCTGTGCAAAGAGAAGTAGGGAGAACGGTTGCCCTTTGGGGAGTAGCGACTGGAAGGGACAGCGGGGGGGCCATGCAGGCATATTCAATGTGTGCAAGGTCATTGAGCTACACCTTTACATGGTGATGAACACTTCAGAAAAGTCTTGCGTGGTGCCTGGCACATAGTAGGCGATTATTATTCTTGTTCTTTCATCTGCACAGTGTTTCCATGGGAAAGTGTGGTCACTGCAGGGGCTGGCAAGCTTTCTCTGTAAAGGGCTAGATATGAAATGTTTTTGACTCTGCAAACCATACAGCCTCTGTAGCAACGATTCACCTTTGCTGTTGTATTGTGAAGGCGCCTAGGGATGATATGCGAATGAACAAGCATGGCTGTGTTCCAATAACACATTGTTTACAAGAACAGGCAGTGGGCTGGGTTTGCTGACCCCTCATCTAGTGAAAGGCTGAATCCCAAAGCCTCCTTCACTGAGTCCCTGTTCAGTCCCTTCCTTGGCCCCGGTTTTCCTATCTGTATAATGGGGAGGCTGGTCTCTGCTCTAAACTACCATCCCAGGGGGTACAGAGGTCAAACGAGCTCATAACCGAGGGAGCCGTGAGGGAGAAAAGAGTAGGAATTAAGAGTCTCTTGAGATTCGGGGCGCCTGGGTGGCTCAGTCGTTAAGCGTCTGCCTTCGGCTCAGGTCATGATCCCAGGGTCCTGGAATCGAGCCCTGCATTGGGCTCCCTGCTCCGTGGGAGGCCTGCTTCTCCCTCTCCCACTCCCCCTGCTTGTGTTCCCTCTCTCGCTGTCTCTCTCTCTGTCAAATAAATAAATAAAATCTTAAAAAAAAAAAAAAAAAGAGTCTCTTGAGATTCTTTGGTGCAAAGCAAATTGTTATTTCTGCCAAGTTCTGAAGAGAGAAAGCCATTGGCCCCAAGTCACCCAGTGCATACATGGACACCAGTGTCCCAGGGGTATCCTGGAGGGAGTCAGGACCCACAAGCCTGGCACCACATCTTGGTCCTTGCACCCCAGAGGCTTTTCTCTCAAGAGCCTGTGGAGGAAGAACAGTGGTGAAGAAGGAAGGCTGGAAAACTGAGTCCCCAGTGGGCTGTTCCTCTGAAACCCAGGGCCCCAAAGCTCCCCACTTGGGCCTGCTTTACTGAACAGCCAGTGAGTACAACAGGGATGTGTCCTCAAATCTCCTCAGCCAGGAGTGTCTTCCCTTCTTCCTGTTTCCTGGCAGGCTTCTACTCATCCCACAAGGCATCATTTAGGCTATTGACCACTCTGGGTGGATTAGCCCAGGGTCAATCATTTGGGGTAGAGGCCGGTCTTCAGAGAGGAAAATATAACTCAGAAGGCAAGCCCAAAGCAGCCGGGGGGTGGACAAGTCTTGCCTTTCCCTGTGCCTCATTCTCTAGGAGTGGGACTTCTGGAGTCTAGACGTGATTGAAGATAGTAACTATAATAGTAATAATAGTAGCAGGCAACAGTTACTGAGATTTACTACATGCCAGGACCTGTCCCAAGCACTTCAAGTGTATTAATTCATTTAATCCTTGCAACAACCCAAGTAAGCACTATTATTCTTCCCATGTTATAGATGAGGAAACGGGCCCAGAGAGGTTAAGACTCTTACCTGAGGTGACACAGCTCTGAAGTGCTGGAGCTCTGAGGATGATAGAAGTGGCTGTTTCAGAAGTCCAAAATGGGTCCATGTTATCTTGTTTATATCCCTTTTCTCAACTCTGAGTCATCTAAGTCCTTGTCACATGGGAGCATTAAAAGGGGAAGTTGGGAAGGAGAGAGAGAGACTCTCTCCAAGAGAATGACTCCCAGTCAGGAGTCAGAGCTACCATATGGGCAACCACCCCTCCTTCTGGATTCATCCAGGAGACACTCCAAGCCCTGGGACAGACGACTGGGGGCTCACGTGGGAAAAGGCCCAGGGAAAACAGACCTAAATCATCGAGGGCATTTATTGACTCATAGGATTGAGAAGTTCAGGAGGAGGGCTGGCTTCAGGGCCGGCTGGGGCCCAGTGTTCAAATGCAGCTCTCAGGAAGCTCGAACTCGCCGTCTTTCAACTCGTTCTTGTGTTCACTTCGTTCTCAAGCAGGACTCTCCCAACGTTGCTGCAAAGGCGGCCCCCTAGGGAATTCCCTAGTGAATACTTTAGTAGGCCTCTTTCCCAGCAGTTCCCACAGAAATCCCAGGGCTGACTCTCACTGGGCCACGCTGGCTCATGTGACCATCCCTGAACCAGCCGTGGCCAGGGGAGGGACCCTGCCTATGGTACCAGCTTGCATCACCTGGCTGCCCCCGGGACTGAGTGGGCAGGGGTGACCCCTACCGGCAGGAGAGGGAAATGCAACCGGCAAACAGCAAGGTGTCTATTACGAGCCTCTGGAGGGAAATAAAGCATTCCCCACCCAGAGAAGGCGGATGATTAGACTTGGCCTTTAAGGTCTGCAATCCCTCCTTGTCTTGACTGTGGACCTCCATGAGCCCTGTTGGCTTAGTCTGGGCTAAGACCTGGACCTGAGTTTCTCTACCTGCCTCTCGCGGCCCACCTGACTCCACCCACCAGGCTGCGGTACTGATTGTCTGGGAGCACTCGGCCTTCTGCCAACTCCTGACCTCCTGCTTGGCCTATTGCCCCGGTTCCCTAGTTGCTTTGCCCCCATCTCTAGTCTGGCTTTTTCCAACCCATGCCATTCCCCGGAAATACTATCCCCAGTCCAGCAGAGTCCTGGCTCAGAAACCTCCAGCCTTCTCCTTAGCATCAGCAAGGAAAAACGAGCTTCTTAGCCCCATGCCTGGGCTCCCTCCGCCTAGAAGCCTCCCTGACGCCGCCTCCTCATCAAAATGCACCTCCCCTAATTCCTAACTGTGTTGGCCATCCTGGCACACTGGCTCATTTCTTTGCCTAGAGGGAAAGGCTCAAGCTTGAGTCACTGCTGCCCAGGGCCCAGCACACCCATGATGCTCACAGGAATACCCACAAAGCCTACATTTCCAGCTATTGGCATGACCACTCCTCCATTAATGGGCATGAGCGGAAGTCAGCTCCACAGATGGACAGTTAACTGAAAGCAACAGAGAAGCCAAGAGAGACACAGAGAGTGAGAGAATGACTGAGAAACATAATTGGGGGGGGAGGGGTTGGAGGCGGTGGATCCAGGGAGACAAGTCTGGAAGGAACTTCATCCAGGACAGAGATGTAGACACACAAGGAAGACATCAAAGGAGGGAGCCAAAGGATGTGAGCTGAAGCATATTTTTGGTTGAGCAAACAAGGCTCCTGTGATTTGTTTTGTCAAGTTGAACTTTATCAGGAGTTCAGGAGTTTATTTCGCTGAGCAATCAATCCTGGGAAAAACACTAGAACATGTTAAAAAGGAAGGGGGGTGGGGAGGAGAGGCAGACAAAACAAAGGAGAGAACATTTGCCTCCAGGTGGGTCAGCACGGTGAGTCTCGGCAGGCCTGGTTAAAACAATAATCTCACCCCCTCACCCCCCCACCCCGCCTTGCAGGTGGCTCAGCCAAGTTCAGGTTTCAGGTGGAAGACGACGCAGTGAGACAGGCCAGAGAAAAAGAAACTAGTCAACTCTGGAGAGGGAGTCTGAGCTGAGGGAGAGAAGCGCCCCAGCTGCTGGGAGGGGAAAGGGCCCTGGGAAGGCTCTGGTTCTGGCCTGGCCACAAGTCACTTAATTAAGACAAGACAAAGTTACACTCTACCTCTGGGCTGACCCTTCAGAATCCCGGCCATGAGTCACAGCCTCCCAAAGTCAGGGACATGGCAAGCTGGTGCCCTTGACCAGGGAGCAGGCGTGGCCTTTCCAGGAGGGCTCTGCCTCGCTGTCTCTAGGGCTGTGTTCTCACCTCAACAGGGTGGTCCCACATCACCTGCCCACAGTACCTGGCCAGTGCCTCATGACGGCAGCTAACGTGACCATGGGAGTCCCCGCCTGCAAGGAGCTCAGTGTCCTACACAAAGTCAGGGCTACGCAGCCATGTAGGAGAGGCCAGACGCGCTGGCGCAGGACCTTCTCACCATCCATCAGATTCACTCTCATTATAATGCTACAAAATCACATGGTGTTCATGATTTGAATTTTTTTTATTTTCTGAAATGGAACCATTGTACATTGTACAAACCATATCTACTTGATGGAATAAATAAGTGAAAAATTATACTGCTGTACAACACACCAAAAAAAAAAAAAACAACAAAAAACTAAACAAAAACCCAAACGTCAGAGGAAAAAAAAAATTAGGTAACGGTGAAAAAAAGGTCTTTATACCTCTAACCGGGTCCTTGGCGATAATGAACATTCCAAACCATGACATTGTTGGTAATGGGAGGTCACCACCCTATAAACGGGTCCACCGCCTTCCGGGTTCCGGGTGTAAGTGCCAGCACTTTGTGGAATGTGTAGCCGAAGCTCCCCCTTCACGTGTGGCGGGGAGCAAGGTTGCCCTGGGAGCCCTTTAGGCCATGTGGTGGCCACGGAAGGCATTTGCTGAGCGTCCCCCCCCCCCCCCCCGCCCTGCCCCTGGCTCGGCCGCTGAAAGGTCTTAGATTCTGTGGTGGGAGGGGGGCGAGGGGCACAGGGTGGGTGGGGGACAGTGGCTCCGAGGAGCGGACTGCGTCGGGGAAGGAAGCACATCTGGATTTTTGCAGTCTCACTGTCCCGCGTGGAAGGCCTTCCCGGCCAGCGATGAGTACAGGGCCGCTGGTGCTTTGTCTGGCGTGGCCTCAGCAGCTGGGGGGGGCCCAGTCGGTCCCGGCCACAGGCCCCTTCCTACCTTCAGGCACTTCAGAGAAAAACAAATGACAGCCTCAGTGTCGCAGATGTAGTCTTCATCCTCAACCGCGTTGACTCCCCTTGCCTGTCCAGAGAGGCCACCGCAACCGGAAGGGGCCCCCAGGGTGGCGGGGGGTGGGGAACCCCCGGCCGACGTGCCGTTTCTGTGGATGCGTGTGATTCTCCTTCAGCTGTCTTGGTTCTAACCTCTCATTTCCCAAAAAGAAAGGAAATAAATATCCAAATTCATCTTTCATCAAAATGGAGTTTCGCTGCAAAGAAAAAAAGTTACTCTAGCTCTAGAGGATCTGGAGGTAAAGCCGCCTTGAGATACGCTGAGAGGTAACGCAGAACACAGTTCTGCACAGAGCTGACTGCCTGAGGGGCAAAATTGATAAGGACTTTTTTTTTTTAAGACAGAAACCTTTCGGCATTGCGAACTTCAACATTAAGATTTTCAAAGTTTGTTTTTTGTTTTTTTCCCTTATTTCAGGAGACATTTTTGCATGAGGTATTTGAAATTCAGGAACATTTTGATTCTTCTTGAAGTGCAGGAAATAGATTGGCTCCCTTAAAAACAAGTAAGAGCCTCGCCCTCAGAAACTTAGAAACTGGCAGACACTTTCCATGGTGGTCAGGAGAGAGATCCACACGTCAAAGGTATCAAAGGTGGTACCTGAATATGCACCAATCAGCAAAACAAAAACGAAAACAAAACAAAACAAAAAAACCACAAAACAAAACAACCCCCTCCCCCCAACCCGCCCACCCTCACTCAACTCAAAGGGAGTTGGAACTCCAGTGCAGTAAAGAAAGCTCAGGAAAAGGGTTAAGGTCCGAGGAGTCCATCTAGGAATTAAGAGCAAACCAGGCCTCAGAACCAATCAGGCAGTTCGTCCAAGGGGGTATCTCCATTTTAGTGAGAGGAAGGTGTCCCAGCACACAGGCAGAGGATGGAGGCGAGGAGAGAGGACTCGATCACCCCTTCCTGGAGGAGTGTAGGGCGTCCCACTCCTTGGTGCCTTGCTTCTGGCCTTTGAGGCCCAATCCTCGGGTCTGCTCCCCCATGGGGACCGTGAGTGCATCCTGGGAGCGAGAGGCCATCGGACTGTTGGCTCTGAGCATCAGAACACTTTGCAATCTTGCCTCTCCCCGGGCAGCAGGGGGGTGGGAGGGAGGTTGCCGAGTTGGGGGGGAGGCAGAGGGTAGCAGGTTACTGCGGATTTGAAATCCAGGCAACATCGCATGACAGCAAGTTCAGCACCAGCTCTTCCTGCCATCTGCTCCTAGCCTCCTCAGCCCTTTTGTCGTCCTAAGGAGACAATCCTGCAGTCAGCCACAGAAGCCGCTTCGTCCTCGGAGGTGTGGGAGAAAGCCGTGTGGTGGGGGCAGGCTGCAAGTGCCAGAGCAATCGAAGGGTTCTGTGCGTCCGTCTGGGCCACCACGGTGGCCTTGGAAATACCAGCCCCAGATGCCCCGAGGAAGTGAGAGAGCACATCCGGAGGCCAGCCCTCGGCGGCAGTGCCCCGACATCCGAGGCTCCTCGGACCTTGGACCCAGGGCCCAGGGCTTGCCCGACGCCCCTGCAGCTGCAGATCAGGCGGCCAAGGAGGTCCTGCTCTTGAGAGGCCTCGGGTCCCCCTCCTCCCTGCCTGTTCCGCTCCAGCTGAAGTCCCGGGTTAGGGAGGAGAGAGGTGTGAGGACGGGGCACCAGCTGCCTGGACAAAACCGAGGGCACTTTGCAAAGGGAGATGCAAAACAACCAGGAAAACATGCCAGAGGTCACCTCAAGGGCACAAGGCACAAAAAAAGAAAGCGGAAGGAATCGGGCGAACAGTGAAAAGCCCCGACGAAAACCGATTCCCTGATCGGTACCACCCTCGAATAGCTTATATCGTTAAATAGAGAAGTGGGGGGGGGGGGGGGACACAAAACAATACAGCAGCAACACAAATGTAATCTTGGCTTCAGAGACAGTGTGCAGACACTCCTGAGCTGTCGACCCCGCCTTCCCAAGGACAGTCCCTTCAACACTTGAGTGTTTTGCTTCACAGCAGAAAGTTCTTCAGTGTCTGAGAAGTTACGCTGTTCTGGGTTTTCTTGGATTTGCACTTGGTAAACTTGGAAAGTTAGTAGTCCTGTCTGCACCCGAGAGGAACTGCTCAGGTGAAGTTGTTCTAGGATTCAGCCTGCAGATGGATCTCCCCTGAAACATGGACAGCAGGACTGAACGTACTGTCTACATCTCTTCAGAGTTCTGTTGCGAGGCCTCCAGTTTCATCTTCTTCGAGGGCGGCACTCCTTCCAAATCCTTGGGGGAAGAAGAAAAGAGGACACAGGTTACCACACCAGGAAGGCAGTTTAGGCCAGCCGTGAGGTTGAAGGTCAACCCAGGAAGAAACAGAGGACCGGCCTCTGTGGTTCAAGCCCGCAGTTCTGACCCCGCGGCCCACGTTCACCAAGCCCCATGTCACCTGGGCCCCGCCTGTCCCCGCCACGGTGGTTTCCCTCCGGGTCTCCCAAGCACACTGCCCCCTGTGCTTCTGAGCTCCCCCGTCCCCTGCCCCACACCAGCCAGGGAGGGTCTCCCCATTATCAGCCTTCCGATCTGTCATTAATCGCCAGGGTAATCATTTGTGCACAACCTCCACGTCGACCTCTCCAAGCTCAAAGACCTCGTCCGACCTTGCCATGTGGTCAATGGCTCCTCCTGATACTCAGAGTTTGCTGAACGCACATGTGTGTTATTCTGGGGAAAAGGGCCGTAGTTGTGACCACATTCCCAAGTCCCACGGCGCAGAAAGGTCCGGCATTCACCCCCCCACTCTGACTTTCCCACTCAGGCATCTCCAACCTGACCCATCGCCCGAGACCAGCTGATGACTACCCACCTTGCCCGGCCCCCCAAGTCTGTCGACACCACACCTGCTCAGGATCAAGCTCACACCCCACCTATTAGTCCCACCAACTCCATCTCCAAATACCCCTGGGCCTGCCCACCTCTCCCCTCCACCCGCTGCCACGCTCACACAGTCTGCACCTGCACCCATCACCTGCCCAGACAAAGCGGCATCCTGCTCCGCGGTCTCCCTACGCAGCCTTCCACACAGTCCAAGAAATCCCAAAACAGCAATCACACACAGGACATAAAACCTGCTGATACTTTCCCACTGACTCCAGAGCAAGATCCCGACTCCCTACCAGGCTGAGAAGGCCCAGCACCCAGCCCAGGCCCACCTGTGCCTCGTCTGGCTGTTCTCTTCCTTGTCCGCTAGGCCCCAGCCACCATGGCCTCCCCTTTTGTTCCTCAGGCTCACTCCTGTCTCCAGGCCCAGCCCAGAAAGCCTGCGCTCGTGGCCCTAGTTTCTCAGCCTTCAAATTCCCGCTCACCGCCCGTTTCTCTGCCTACGCCAGAGTCCAAAGAATGCTCTACCGTCAGGTCTCCTTGCAGCCCCGTTCGGGTTCTTCTGCAGCACGCGCTGTGACCTTGTAATCCGGTCGTGCCTGAGGTGCCCTGTGTCATGGTGAGTCCCCTGCGGGCAGGGAGGGACCCCATCTCCAGCTCACTCTGGGTCCCTAGTATCTGACAGAGCACCCGGTCCACAGTGGGTGCACAACGTATGTTGAATGGAGCCCCCAGGCCCTGAGGTGGGCTGTGTGGGAGTTTCACGTGGCAGACCCTGAGAGCGCGCACCGCAGGGAGGCCGAAAGAGCTGCCTCTGTGTTCCCCCTGGTTCTCATTCTGAAAGCAATAAAAGCCCGATACAGACATAACCAGAAAAAGCAGGTACTGTGCCTTCAGAGGATCCCCTGGGTCCCCTTGGGGAGAAGGTTCTTTGGTTCTGCAGAACAGTTGGATGGGAGGACAGCATGTGAGCTTGGGAGTGGACGAGAAAGGGAAAAGGGAGCAAAAGAGAGGAGCCACAAGCTAAGGATAGCCGAACAGGGGAGAAGAGTCAAAGTACTGCTCCTGTCGGGAGGTTGGGGAAGCTTTTTTTTTTTTTTAAACACAGGAACGGCCAAATGTCCGTGTCTGGTTGCTTGCTTAATTGTAATGCATCCTCCACCTTGCTCACAAACCTCGGAGCTCTGTGGATGAGTCTGTGTCCGTGTGTGCCTGAGAACAGTGGAAGAGGCCTCATTCCAGGTCTGGGTCCCCTGGAAATGGCAGTGGAGGTGGGGGGCTTGTGAGAATGGAAGACCCCTGCACCTTTCAGACATCTGGGTGGGGGGAGGGGCGGGAGGGAGAAGAGCACTAGATGCCCCCAGGGTACGGATCAAAGGTTCAAGCTAACCTTTCCTCCACTGAGTTCAGAAGGCCAGGAGACCCCAGCAGACATTCTGGTTTTACACACTGTTCAGGAGGCTTTGATTTTTAATCTAATGGGCTCCAGCTATGCCTGAGGTTCTAGGTCTTGCTTTTCTCATTTCACATCGGGAGGATATTTCTTTCTGTCTGTACCTGGATCAGCCACACTCTTTTTAACAGCTCCATACCAGTCTGTCTTATCCATGACCTCCGATTAATTGAACCAGTCCCCTTTCGGCAAACTTAGGTCATGGCTCACATCTCCCATCAACACTCCTTCTGTGTCTTTGGGCATTCGGAGGTGTGTTCTGCAGGAGGAGGGGGCTGCAGATCCAAGGGGATATAGACATTAGAGTCCAGGAGGCACTTCCCCTTGGGGGAGGCCTGGCTTACGGCCCTGCAAAGCGCAGACCAAGTGCTGCTGCACCCTGGCCCCGTCCGATCTTTCTGCTGCTACTTCCTCCAGAGGTACTGGAGAGTAGTTTTATTAGTTCAAGTTCTGATACCTCGGAGTCCCCACTCAGCTTAGGTGGGCACAGAGGGTTGACAGTGAAAAATCACAGTGACGGCATCTGAGGCATTCCCGTGTCCAGCTCCACACCGAGTGTGTTCGCCACATTCTCTCATCCCATCTGCGCCCTGGCCCCAAGACACTTCTGTGATCCCATTCTGGTAGCTGCGGACAAGGAGGCTCGGTTACGCTAAGCGAAGGAGCGGGGATTCGAACCCAGGATGTTTGTTCCTAGCCACTGGCCACCTGCTCCTGCACGGATTCGGACCAGATGCTGACAAACAGGGATGACCCCGAACAGGGTCCAAGCAAGGGGGCAGTGTGGTCAGCTGCAAAATTCCAAAGGATGATTCATCCGGCATTTCGGATCCTGAAGACTTATCGTCCCCGCACTAAAGGAAGTTGGCTTGGGGTCACTAGAGCAGGCAAGGCTTTTGTGGACCTGAGTAAACAAAGTGACAAAGCCGAGACTGGGATAAAGGCCGCCTCCTCTTCCTACACCCTCCTCCCTGAGGGCTGGGCCCCAGGACACTCACGACTCCCGCTCAGTGAATGCAGGGAAGTGCCAATCTTCCGAGGAGAAGACCACAAAACAAAGTAACGAAACCCCTTTCAACGTACCCCCGACACCCCAACGGGCTCCCGGCTGATCTGGCTGCCCCTCTGAGACCTCGATCGAGGTACCTGAGAGATTGCGGATATCTCTGCAGCTAGACCCGCGTCTCCAGATGGCTGCCGTTCACCTTTCTCTGAACTGTTCATCGAGTTTTCCATTGAAGACTGCGAATTCTGCTCGTCAGAAGCATCTGAGGGAAAGCAAGATGACAGAAGCTGTTTTCAGACACGTGAGATGTGGAGCCAGATGGACCCATTACTAAAAATACCTGGAACTGGGGAGTTTTGCGGCCAGGCGGTCTGTCGGGCCTGCAGTGAGTTGGGGCGCTTGGGAAGCCTCTTAGTTTTTCGTCAGCTTGTCTGAAGCGGCCAGGCCCCACGCTGGCCCCGGGGCCTCCAACCCTTGCCTGCACACCCGCTACCTGCCATGTGCCCTAAGAGGACATCTTAGGGAATGCTACACGCTTTGTGCCGCGTGCACCTGGCGCCCTCTGGTGGGCACAACGCGCCCCAACCATCATGGCTGCTGACTCCTCCCTTTTCCATTCCAGAGCCTGCGTTCTCCACCTGGGGAGCCGGCCGAGGGAACTGCCCCTTTGTAGACATTTCTCTTAATAATGTGGGTGTTTTCCTGACCATCAGAGCAATGACTGATGATTGCACAGAAACAGAAAATACGGGAAAAAATAAAGTCAGAATCACTGATTACCTCACCCCACCCACAACTACCAACCCACTAACATTTCAGAGGATTTATTTTCATCTCTCCAGATGTTCCCCCCCCTTCATGCATATAATTCTCTGCTCTCCCCAAAAAGAGATCACACAGAATTTTGGAAAAATTTTTCATGTCTTTAAAAATTCTCTGAATACAAGAGTGTACAAGATGGCTGCACGGCTTCCATCCAGCAATCACTTATTTATGAATCCTGTTTTGCCAATGATTTGGGCTGTTTCTTGTGCACAGGTCTCCCTGCTCCCCTCCCCAGCGCAGTCCTTTAGCAGAAGGGGGTTGCAGGCCGTAGCCGGCTGCACGAGGCGAGGCGGTGCGGCTGTGGGAGAGGAGGTTATTTTGGGCACCGAGCCACAGGGCTCACAGTGGGAGCAGCATCTTGCCCAGGGCCCCACTCGGCTTGCACTCAAGGCCCCAACAACAACCGTCACCCTGATTTTTTCAAAGGGCACTAGAAGACTCAAGAATGCCACCCTTTCTGGGGTTTCTGAGGCAGAAAAGAAAAAAAAAAAAAAAAAATATATATATATCCAGGCTTAAGTTTTAAAGCGAGCACGCAAGTCGGCAGCACTCCATGGCCTGAAGCCAGTGGGGAGCAGAGGGCTGGGGAGCAGGGCAGGAAGGAGGTGGAAGACCCCCTCTCCCAAGGAGCCTGTCCTCCCAGCATGTCCATCCCAGGTGAGCTGCTCTTAACACCTACTCTGCCTCCCCAAACCAGCAGCCCGGATATCCTGAGGGCAGCACCCGGAGACCCACCACCCTGCCAGGGCCTGAGCTTGGGTGTTCCTGCTGCCGCGGGGAGGCTCAGGGGTCCGCCCTCTCCAGGGCTGGGCTCTGCCTACAACCTGGTACCTGGGAGGACCCAGGGTCTAGAAATAGACCTGAGTTCCCATCATGCCTCTGCCACTTGTTTCCTCTGGGAGCCCTAAAAGTCATCCCGGCTGACAATAGCCACGCTGTGGAGTCTCGGTGAGGACTTAAAGGGACAGGGGAAAGCGCAGGGGAAGTACTCAAGTAACAAAATAACCCCAGGGGGGAGAAACTACCAGGGCATAGGACCACACTCCCCATCAACCTGCCAGTTCTTTAATATTTTGTTGTACTTTTTAAAAAATTTTATTTAAGTAATTTCTACACCCAATGTGGGATTCCAACTCACGACCAAGAGTCACACGCTCTACCGACCAACGGATCCAGCCAGGAGCCTCTGTTATGTTAAGTCAAACACGGAATCCCTGTACTACCCAGTTCCTCCACCACTAGGTAGAGACCCAAAGGAAGAGGAAATAGGTCCTCAAACTGGTATGTGTACATGAATGTTCACGGCAGTACTATTCCTAACAGCCAAAAGATGGAAACAGCCCAAATGTAAATTAACAAATGAATCAAACGACAAAACGTGGTGCATCCACGCAATCCACACAGCAAAGTATTACTGAGTCACAGATAGGAGGAGAGGAATGGCACCTGCTATCAGGTGGAGGAACCTCGAAAACATGATCCCGAGTGAAAGAAACCAGACACAAAAGGCCACATATTACACGCCACTTATATGAAACATCCAGAACAGGTGAATCCATACAGACAGAAATCAGACTGGCAGCTGCCAGGGGTTAGGGTGAGGGGGAAGGGGGGAGTGACAGTTTATGGGTACAGAGTTTCCTTTGGGGGCGATGGAAATGTTTTGGAACTGGACAAAGGTGAATTTCATCTCAGTTGTTTAAAAAGGGAAGAAATCCACGTTAATGTTATGTTCTAGTTCGTAACAGACGTTTGCTTTAGCAAACTTTGAATTGTTATTGCCCTCCTCTGGCCTCCCCTGGCCTCCCCTCTCTGCCCTAAACACTGAGCTCTGCAGACTGGACAGGGAGGTTCAGAAATCATGGCCAGCCACCCCGAGAGTCATGCTGACCCCCTGCCCGGCCTGAGAGCTCAGCGGGAACTGGCCTTAAAGCTCACAGAGCGTGCAAGGACTCGGTGCAGCGGCCTGATTCTCCTAGTGCTGGTGCTGGAACTCACCCAGGGGAAATTATTTTCCTAGGGCCTAAATTTAGTCCAGTGAGTTTGGACATTATGTCATTCCCTGAACTCACTCAGCAGTAAACAAGTTCAAAGCAAGGTCAACAGCTGGTGACTAACCCACCCCGACCCGCAGGCTGCACGGACCCACCTGGGAGGCCTTCATGCCTTTCCCATGGGGGCTCCCCCAACAGCGGCAGGCACCCCCTCCCTCGAGCAATGCTGGGCAACTGTGCGGGCCCAGTGGCCTGGGGTCGTCAGAAGAGGACCCCGGTGTAGTTCCCGCCTGGACGGGTAAAGCTTTTGGTGGTAGTGGGGGGAGGGAGGGGAGGGGGGTGTCGTAGTTGCCAATTCTGGAAGCAACAACCCAAGAAGCAGTTTCTGCAACTGAGCTTTAACTGGCTTGTAGGGCAAAGGAGATGCAGCCCCCAGACATGGGAGACACGAGGGAGAAAGCACGCAGGATGGGAAAGAAGCCAGGATGCGTGTACACCTGGCCCAGCAGGCGTGCGTGACCTCCCCTCGCTCACGTCAGGCTCAGGCCCGGGTGAGCACTTTTGCTTCCTTTCCGCCCCACTCCTTTCGGGGACTGGATGAGGGAGGCAGCTTTCATCGGTCTCACTTTATAAATAAGGAAACAGAAAGGCTCGCAGGAGGGGACGCTGACAGCCCAAGGCCACACGGCTAGCGAGTGTCAGCCCAGACGTGACGGCTCATCCTGTCCCTGGTCCCAGCCCCCTGGTCCCGCCATCCACTGCCCGCAGAGCCCCGGGAGCGGGACGGTGCTGGGGGCCGCCGTGGGGAGAAGCCAGGGAGGCCTCTCAACATCCCACCACACACAGGATGGCCCTGCAGGCGAGACGCGTCTGGCCCCAAATGCCAGCCGTGCTGAGGTTGACAAGCCTTGCCTACCACGTCTCTGGAGGAAAATGGTGGGATCTCCCCCAGTTTTAAATGCCCGCACCTCTGACTAAATACACAGTCCCTCCATCCTTCAGATAAAGATGTGCGGACAAGACTCTCTGCAGGATCGTGTGTGGGGAAAAAACCTGTATGATTATCAACGTGGGGACTATTTAAATAAATGATGACATGTTCGTACCACTGAACAGTACAAAGCTGGTAAAGAGAATGAAACAAACCTGTACGTCCTAACATGGAACAATCTCCATGGTGATTGTTAAGGGAAGTATTCTAAAAAAAGGAGATTATAATCTCATCTAGATTCTTCTAGGGCCACCACACTAGACTCAACAGTGGTCCTCCTGGGGCGGGGAGGACACTCGAGGCTCTGGCTGGGGGGCGTCCAGTCTTCGTCCTGACGCCTGTGTTATTCCCCGTGTGTGGGGTCACCTGCCCCCCCGCCCCGCCCACAGGCCTACCTGGCATGAGTGCCTTCGCATCCGGCTCAGAAAGGGGATGCCACACTGAGCACCTGAGAACCGCATGCCTGGCTGGCTCACCCCATCCCCCACACGTCCCCAGGCCCTGCCCCTGGTCCCTTCTGCTTGCACTGCTCATTTCCCTCCTATCCCCACTCAGCCTTCGAACCCACGTCAGACAGCAGGAAGCCTTTCCTGAGGCCCCTGGGCTCCTTTTTCCTACTAACACAGCACTGATCACGAACTCAAAAGCCCCCTGAAGGGCCAGGCAGTGCCGTGAATGAGTCGTGGGGGCTGTTCAACTCAGACACAGGTAAGGAAATAAAAAATCTGAAGGAATATTCTTCTGTTCCTCAAAAAAATACAGATTCTCCCAACCTCTCAGACTTTTACTTTTCCACTTCCGATAGAGAAATAGGTTAAAAAAAACAACGTAGTTTTTCCTTTAAATGAGTAATAAAGAAAGCAACAGTGATCATGGAGGGATATGGGGCCATGACTCTTGGGCCTCAGTGTCAGGAAGACAATAGGGAGTGGCGGGGAGTGTGGAACTAGCAAATGCAGGCTCACCCACCCTCCCTGGAAGGGCAACCACATCTCTGCTTTAACTGGTTGCTGCTCCATGGAAAAGTGGACCCAGTATTGCCCAATCTTCTGATTTTCTCAAGAGAAGGTGGAAATCAATCTTGTTTAAGTGAAATTGTTTAATTTTAAAATTCTGACATCCAATTCGGGGCGCCTGGGTGGCTCAGTCGTTAAGTGTCTGCCTTTGGCTCAGGTCATGATCCCAGGGTTCTGGGATCGAGCCCCGCATCGGGCTCCCTGCTCGGCGGGAAGCCTGCTTCTCCCTCTCCCACTCCCCCTGCTTGTGTTCCCTCTCTCACTGTGCCTCTCTCTGTCAAATAAATAAATAAAAAATCTTTAAAAAAAAAAATTATAAAAAAAAAATAAATAAAATTCTGATATCCAATTCAAATTAAAAGTAAAAACAGCACCCGGCCCGTGGCCACATCCACACGCCCCACGCTGGATCTAGTCTGACTGTGACCTCTGCAGAGTCTCATTCTCAGTTTTGGTGTCCGTCCCCCACTGCTTCCCTCTGAGTGCTTGGGGGGCAGGAAGCAGCCTCGCACAGGGCAGGTGTGGCAAAGCGTGTCAAAGGAAATGGAAAGGGGTTCAAAGTGATGCCACAGCAAAGAGAGGCCTTCCTCCCAAGAAGACCCGATCCAGTCCCTCCCCAAGCACAGGGAAGCCTGGCCTCCACCCCGGGCCAGCCCTCTTCCTCCTCTCCTCCCTTCACAAATGCCGGCCAGGCCATCCCCTCAGGTGCCAGGGGTCACCCTCCAGTCCCCGCTCAGCCCAGGTACCACCTGTCAACACATACTCCCTCTTGGACCTTCAAAATACACCTCGATATCAGACAAGCAAGAGCTACAGACCCATCTTTTTAAGTGTAATGACACAGTACCTGTGATCAGGTAAGAAAACATTCTAATTTTTAAGAGATGTGTGCTGAAGGGTTCAGGGAAGAAATGCTGTAAGATTTGTAAGTTACCTTCAAATGCCCTCCCCCCCAAATACTTACAGACAAAGCAAAACAAACCAACAACTGCCGAATTCAGCTGACATATATGGGAGAGTACCCTATTTATTTTTCTGTATGTTTCAAAATTTTCTGCTGCAAGAATCCAGAGATCTTGGGATGCCTGGGTGGCTCAGTCGTTAAGTGTCTGCCTTCGGCTCAGGTCATGGTGCCAGGGTCCTGGGATCGAGCCCTGCGTCGGGCTCCCTGCTCAGTGAGAAGCCTGCTTCTCCCTCTCCCACTCCCCCTGCTTGTGTTCCCTCTCTCACTGTCTCTCCCTCTCTCCATCAAAATAAATAAATAAAACGTTAAAAAAAAAAAAAAAGAATCCAGAGATCTCACAATAGACAAAAATAAGCCAACATATACATAGCCACGTACATATATGTCCTCCACAATCAGACTGCTGCTTACCACCTCGTCTGCTCCCACTCTGGTCACACCAGTCGCCACCCTCTTCCATCTGGATGACTGCCTTAGTCCTGCTATCTGTTCTCAATCACAGCAACCAAAGTGACCCTCCAGACCATGGCACTCAGTCCCAATGGCTCCTGTCTCCCTTGGCACAGAAGCAAGGGTCTGTTTACTGGCCTAAGAGCCCCCCACACTCAAGGTCCTGCCCCTTCTGACCTCATCTCACTTTGTGAACCCCTCATCCGCCCTTCCCCAGCCACTAAGCACACTCCTGCCTCAGGGCCTTTGTGCTGCCCGTTCCCTCTGCCCACAGTGCTTTTCTCCCCCTTTCCCAAAGGGTTTGCTCCCTTACCTAATTTTAGCCTAATCTGCTCTAATGTCACCTTCTCAGTGAGGCCTTCCCTGGCCACCCTATTTAAAATGGAAAATTCCCCATAATTCACCAAGACTCGCCATTCCTCTTTCTTATTATAGTTTTCCACGGAACTTACCTTCCCAAAACCAGACTGTAGGATTTTTAAATTGCCCCACAAGAAGATGAGCTAGTCTAGGCATTACCTTTCTTCTACTGTGACCTTCTAGGGGTTGACATGTGGCTGGACCTCCTAGAGACCTGTCAACCGACTGCACGAAGGCCCAGCCCCTGCGGGCACATACCTTCCACCCCAGGGAGCTCCTTCCCGTCGGTCTGGGCCTCGTCCACCTTGGCGTCAGTGCCTTCGCCGGGCACTGCTGAGTTGGGCTCCGGAGCAGGGCTTGAGTTACTGCTGTTCTCCTGTTTGATCGGGGAGGCATCCGCTATGGAGCTCTGGTTGCTGTTATCATCTGCACAGGGGGGAAGAGAACCACAGGGTGAAATCCCCCAGCTACTGAGGAAAGGCAGGTTGGGGGCTCGGCCTCCCCAAGCCTCTCTGCCGGCAGCCCCACAGGACACTCTCTCAGGGAAGGAGACACTTTCCTGCCCTCAAGACCTTGGAGATGAGCCACCTGGGGCCGTTCCATATGTCCTGCAAGGAGAAGGCTTCCGTGAGCCTGCCTGAACATCCCCCTCTGGCTCCATCCTGTGGGGGTGGGGGGCAGCCAGTGACACACGGTGGCCTCTCACGTTTCAAGTCTTTGGGGGGGATCTGAGGCCTCATTCTGGGTGAAGAGGCCAGATTTGTGCACCTGGCTCTGGGGCAACACGAGGGCTGAAGCATGGTCCATGAGGCAGCACTGCCAAAAATGTCCCACTGATCTCATCAAGTGTCTAGACCAACTTCCACTTGATACAAAATAAAGGGGAGAGAACATGTAAATGGAAAGTAGGATATTCCACAGGACAATCGGCCCAGGCTCTTCAAGTCAGAACCATTAAAGAAGAGAGCGAGAGAGGGAGAGAGAGGGAGTGGGAGGGAGAGAGAGGGAGAGAGAAGCAGGGAAAATTATTGTAAAGAAATTTAAGAGAATTAACAGCTAAATTAAGGACATGTGAAAATTATTTAGATTCTGTTTTGAATGTGCCAGCTCGTAAGGGACATTTTGGAACAACTGGGGAATTTGAATATAGTCTGGGATTTAGAAGATACGACGGAGTAACAGTTACTTATGTTAGGAGTGAAAACAGCACGGCAGGCATATAGAAATGTTATTAGTGACGCGTGCTGAAGGGTTTAGCCGCGGACTTAAAACACAACGCAGGGAAACTTCAGTTCAGCACAGGCTGCCTACGACTGTCAGAATTCCCTGAACTGAACACTCGAGAGCTGTGCAGTTTTTCTATGTAAATTGCATTTCAATTAAAAAGCTTAATATATTAAAAAAAAAAAAGAAGATGAGGCAAACATGGCATGTGAGTGAAAACCTAGGTGACAGGTGTATGAAGTTCATCACACTAGTCTTCCTACTGTTCTCAATTATGAAATTTTTCATAATACAGAGAAAAAAAGAGAAGTAATTTGAGCACTGCATTCATCGTTGAGCTGGTGGCAGGGCTGGGGGTCCGGGGGCACGTATCCCCTGGCGCTAGACCCCGTCTTAGGTGCAGAGAATCATGTTACGTTGCAGATATCCAAGTGGTGATTTCAAAACTATCACCGCACTGCTTTTCTGGGCCATGCTGTGCACTTGGGACCAAGGCCACTTTTGTGAAACACAGAGCAAGGAAGAGACACGGAGAAGTACATCCACACATCCTGGGCCCTACTGCATGCTGACACCTGGGCAAAAACACTTACAGTCACTTGTTCCATCCTCCCGACAACCTGCCCGGTAGGTGCTGTTACCTCCCTCGTTTCCAGAGGGGGAAACTGAGGCTCTGAGCGGCAGAACCCCTTGCTCAAGCTGCTCCACCCAACTCCAAACTCAACCTGCCAAGGAAGCGCCAGGCAGTCACACGGTCCCGGCCAGGTAAACTGCATCTTATTCTAAGTGTACTAATTACACAAAGATCCTCTTGTGAATTCTGGGACTTAAAAAAAAAAAAAAAGCGCACTCTCCTGATTTGCCTTTTAAGAGAATCTAAACCTCCTTCCTACACCAAGCTATGTGTGCGTATGTGTAAAAGGCAGAGGCCTGACCCACAAGTCCCAGCACGGAGTTATGTTAATTAATGACAACAAGTACTAATGTTTAACGAGTTAGTTGCCAGAGCCTAACCTGGTCACCTGGTAACGACGTGACCCTGACATTCGAATCAATGTTGATAGAATCTCAGACTCGAAAGAGGTGGCTGCAGATGCCCGCTATCCCACTGGGAGTCTTGCAGATAATCCTGTCCAGGCCCACATCTTTCCTTGCGTTTGCACACATCTATGCCCTGCGGCTGGAGGAGGGTCTCAGCTGCACATGTGCTAAAATGGAAAGGATACTGAGAAGGTGAGCGAGGCTCCTGGGCTGGTGGCCACACACTTAGATTCTGCCTCCAAAGGACCTCAAGGCCAGCACTGGCATCCGTGAGCTTCCTAACCTGGGGTGCCACCTCCCCGAGGCCTCATTTCCTAATCTGCACAATGGGGCTTATTTTTAGGATGAATGAAGTAAGGCATGAAATGGGCTTAACTAGATGCTTTGGCGCATTGTGACAGCCTTAAACGTGAGCTACTAGCATGCCAAGGGCTTTGAGGGGGTTATCTTATTTAATACTCACAAGGACCTTATGAAGTGGGCATTACCATTCCCACTGGGCAGACTGAAAACAGATCTGATGGTTACATGTTAAGGAACTAGCCGAGGATCACACAGCTGGTTGGGGGGGAGGTCCTAGGGAGCCAGATGTGAACCCAGGTGGGATCTCATCCTCTGCTCTAAAAGGCTCTCACCTGTGAGCCAGGCAGGGGCCTTCTCAAATCCCAAGAGAGTGGGGATCTAAGCAATGCCAGGGGGGCAGGTCACGTCCCAGCTCCAATACCTGGTTCATTTGTGTTCCATGTTCAGTGTTCAACTGCGATTGTATGGCCAGTGAGGGGCTTTCCTGACGTGTCAGCTGTCAGCAAAACCCCTCCGTGCTTTCTGAAGCCAGCCCAGCAATAAGCAAGACCCCCTGCCCTGAGAGCTTGTGACTGTGTTTTCCAGACTGGTCAGTTTGGGCAAATGCGAAAGTTCACTGGCACTCCTTCCCCAGAGCAGGACAGCCCTGGAACCAGAGGAGTCCAGTCCAATATATCCAATACCACCATGCTGTACAAAAGGCCTGGGTGGTCAAAAGGACAAAGATGTTGAAACTGGGATCAAGAGATGGGAAAACGCAAGTGGTACCAGCTCTGCTAGTGGCAGCCCAGGCAGGTGGCCCCGGAGTGACCACAGTCTCCTGCAGGAACAGCTATGGCTGCCTTGAGGGGAACACACTCCCCGAGTTTCTGGGTCTGATTTCCCAAAGTATGGCATAAATGCAGATTTCCTAGTTTATAAACATCGGAAACTCGATGTTGCAGAAATTTCACGTTTGAATCTCTCAGGTCAGAAGTCCTTGGAGGGGTGGGGATAACCGGGAGGGGACACCAGGGGGATGGCCAGGCACGTTTCCGTCTTGACCTGGGCCGGCTGTATGGCTGTATGGAACCTCTATACCGATCATGAAGCCACACCCTGATGACGTGTGCCTTTCCTATCCATTAACGAGGTAAAATGGGAACTCAGCGCGAGCAATGTCAAAACCGCAGACTGGCTAATGCAGGTCTCCAGCCTGGATTCCATCAGGGGGACACTGGTTGTAACTTTTGAAGTAAGACAGCAAAGGAAGGTAGGATGTCATTGTGGAACGCAGGTCCCCGGGTCCCAGAGTGATTAACGGGATGTGGAAATCCAGTCTGGAGTTTCCCAGCAGCCAAAGAGAAATAGGAAATGGAAAACGGCGTCAATTTTACGGTAGGTCAGGCCTAGGAGGGGAAAAGATCGTAGACCCACAAAAAGTTCCTGAGCGCACACAGGGCTGACAGGTCGCACCCAACCCCCCCGTCCCCCGTAAGGTTTGTGTCACTGGGCTCAAGAAGGTCTTGTTTTATGTCTCTGGCTTGTTTCTTGTTTTACGTTTCTTGGCTCTGTGCTGGGAAGAGGAGTTTCTCCTCTGCTGAGGCTTCTCCTGGGCACCAAGGCCTCCTGGTGCTGCCCAGCCCTCCTACCCTTGCCTGGAATGTGAACAAACCTGCTGGTGAGAACAAAAGCTGAGTGCTCTGCCGCAGCCCAGGACCCGGCAGGAGAGCTCACCGTGCATGTCCATCATCCCCGGGGAGGAGCTGTTCTCCGGCGTGGTCACCTCAGAGCCACACTTCTCATCTTTACCCTTTTTCTTGTTCTTGTTCTTCTGGAAGAGAAAATGGAGCAGACACCGAGTCACCACATTGTGTGTGCATGCGTGAGCAAGCCCCCGGGGGGTGATATGAATATTTTATTTGGCCGGTTCATCTTGGAGCCTGCAAGTCTCCGGAGGGCTCTCCTTGGCCTGCATTTGAACACGTCCCATTAGGGGCCTCACCTGCCGAAGGGAGGATTCTGGGGCTGGGCATAATCCTGCCTTGTGTGGGGGGCCAGCAGCAGCAGGCATGCCAACAGGAACAGTGATGCCGGGTGAGGGACAGAGAAGACACAGATCACCCCCACTATCTGTAGGCCCCATGGCTGCCTACAGCAGTCAGCTGACTCCCGGCAAAATACTAGAAGGCCAGGTGAGGAGGGAGATCCCAAGGAGGAGGGATGGTGAAGGGGATGCTCTTTGTGTGCAGTTCCATTCGGTTTTTTTTTTTTACAAATGGAATAGGATCATGTTGGAAATGACCTGTGTCCACTGGTAAGAGTTGTTAAATTACAGCACATTCTTTCCACGTAACATAATGCAATAATTACTGAGAATAAGACAGCTCTTCATATACTAACGTGGAATGATCTACAGAAATATCAGCATATTAGAATATCTCAGTCATCTCCAGGATGCATAAAAGGAAGGTGCAGAACATGGGAAGGGAAGGCCACTATTCACGGAAAGAAAAGGACACGCGAATGTCTATCCACACGTGTGTTTGTGGGCACTGTCTCTGGAAGGATAAACAAATGCTGGTCGCCTCCAGCCAAAGGAGCTGGGTGGCGTGGGGGCGTACACAGGGACAGGAAGCAGATTTACAAAAAGATATATATATATATTTGAAAAAAGCAGCATTTGAAGAATATGCACACCTCTAGAGATGGAAAGTTGATTGGTGGATTCCAGGACCGTGAAGCCAGTGGGGGAGTGACGGCTAACAGGTGTGAGCTTTCTTTTTGGGGTAACGAAAATGTTCTGGAATTACAGCAGTGATGGCTAGATGACAGTGAATACACTAACACTAACTTGTATACCTTGAAAGAGTGAATTTTATGGCATGTGAGTTGTCTTCATGGAAAAAAAAAATGTTTTGTAATACTTGAATTCTGTAAATTGGTTTCCCTATTTAAAAGGAAAAAACTTGCTAGAGTTCCAAAGGGGCGGGGGAAATGGTGCAACATGTTGTAATTGGGTGTTTAGAAAAATAAAAAGCTACCCCTCCACAATACGGATTCCTGGCCACAACCACCAGAGATTCCGACTCAGCTGTCTGGGGTGGGGCCCAGGGACCTGCATTTCTCCATGGTTCCCAGGGGATTGGATGCTCAGCCAGGGGTGGGGCCCACAGCCCTAGAGGGAAAGGGGATGGGGGAAACATCATACTGTACTGTACATCATGGCTCAGAGACAATGGCAAATTAGCATTTTCGAGCACCGTCTGCACAGCCGTGCTGGGTTAAGTTCTCTCTGTTTGATATACCGCCTTTACTCTGCTGCAGAAACCCCAGGAGCTGCCTATTGTTACCCCACTGCACGGAAGAGGGCACGAGGGCCCAGCAAGTTAGGGTCACCTGTCTGACATCATAGGTTAACGGCGGCGGCGGGGAGGCACCTGTCCTCTACCTCTTTGCCCAGCCTGCAGCTGCCCTGTCCTTCCTGGCAGCCCATATATTACACTTTCTCCTTGATCCCAATCCATTTTGGCACTTCCCTGATGTCTGTTTCATGCTATTCTATAATTATCTTTCCCAACGAGATTATAAATTCCTTGAGAGCAGGGACCATGTCTTCTCAAATGCAACCGGCGTTTACACAACACCTAATGATGTGCAAGGCACAGACGTGGGCCGGGGCCAGCAGCTGCCTTCCAGGACCCGGCTGCACCCTGCTCTCCCCTCCAGGGACAGCCAGCACCAACGGCTGCGATGGGCTAGGTCCTGGGGCCTCGAGGAACGCAACCCTGGGGGCTCCAGGAGCCCAGGCCAGAACCAGAAAGGGTGACACACACCGACGTTCTCCGTCCAGCACCAACCTGCCCAGAGACGAGCTTGTGATCACAGGGTCAAGAATGGAGCCTCAGCCATGCCTGGACACCTGGGACAGGTAACTGAAGACAGCTGCGGGGAGGCTTAGCCTCGCCTTTATGGCCCCCTAGGAACCCAGCAATCATGACCACGACCCCCCAGAAGCAAATGGAGCCATCCATCCATGTGGCTCAGCGTGAGCCATCTTCCTGGGGGGGAGGATTGTTCGCATGAATAGGGAAGGTACCCCGGGCAGGACAGTCCATGCCAAGGTCTGTAGGGGGGAGCATTCTGGATGCTGACTGGAAATAAGAGTAGCTGACCTGGCGTCTTTGGGGGTAAACTTGCCCAGGAGCCGCGAAGCTGAAAAACTACCCACGATGTGGGGCAGCAGCTTCCGCAGCCCCTCCCCCACACCAGGCAGGGCTGCTGACGCTCCCTCTAGTGGCTGGAGCCCCCCCCGCCCCCCACCCCAGGGCCCCAGCCGTGGCTGTGTTCCCATGTACCAAGCCCTCTCGCTCTGGCGTCGCTCTGGGGTGGCCCGCAGCTCCAACCACCAGAAGGCTCTCCAACAGCAAAGAGAGCATGTGTTCTGGAGTCAAACAGACCCGGCACTTGCTGTGTGATTCCGGGGAAGTGGCTTCACCTCTCTGAGCCTGTGTCCTCACTTGTACAAAGGGGATAAAGGGTCAACTCGACAGACCTGGCAGATGGTCGGGGGCTCCGGAGCAGTGACAACGATGGGGGAGGGTCTGCTTGTCCGGGCGTATGCTACACCCAAACCGGGGTGCCCAGGGCCCCAGGGAGGGGACAGCTCTGCACTAAGGCATGTCCCCACTGGCAAACTATAGGGCTCTCAGCCCAGAAGAGATGACTTGCAGGGGACACTTCCCAGCTCCCGGAGGGCCAAACTCTGGGGCTGGACTATGAGTGAGGAGGAGGACCCAGGTGCAGCAGCCTCTCCAGCCATAAGTTGGGTCCTTCTGCTTCCCAGGTGGCCTTGGCCCCAGGGTCGCACACTGGTGGGCAGTGGTGGACAGCACCTTCTACCTGCAGTGCGGGGAGCACGGATGGATGGCCCCACCCCAGGGGTTTGGCCCACATACTCACATCGTCCACCTTTGGCTCTGTCACAGGGACCCACTTGTAGATTCGCAGGGATGTGTCACCCACAGTCACCCACTTCTTCTCCCTGCAGAAGATGAGGAAGAGCTCGTTACCAGGGGGTTTCTGGGGCAGAACCCTGCGCACCCCTCGTGGGGGACATGGGCCTTGCAGTAGCTGGGACACAGGGGCTGCTCAGCTTGGGGTCAAGGGAAGGAGCTCCAGATCACTCCAGATCTAGTGGCTGGGGGCTGCTGGGCAAGTCATTCACCAATCTACACCTCTGTTTCCCCGTCTGTTAGACCACACAGGGTCATCAGTCTCTGGGCTGTCATGAGGATTACATGAGACAGCATGTGTGAAAAGCTTCCCCATGCCTTGAAGGATGTGCCTGGTGAGACTGGGCGGACAGAGGGCCTGCCGTTAAAGAGGACTGCTCTGGATGAAGAGAACTGTGCCCCAGGGTCCTCCAGCTTTTGTGCCTCCCAACGCTGCCATCTCCACGGAGCCAGCGAACTGGGCCACCCCAACCCCTTCGGCAGCAGGGAGGGCTTGAGGCCAGCAGGGCATTTCCTCCCCAGGGGTTGAGGGGGGCTTCACCAAGGGCACCCACAGACTCACCCTGTCCTCCCCGCAATGCCTCTGAGGTCAGAGGAAGGAAGGCAGGAGAAGACAGCGTGAATAACCAACCACCCAGTGCTCTTCGGGGCAAACGCCATTTGGAGTAGCCGGGGGGGGGGGCGGGGAGGGGAACAAGGGCAAACCTGGATGCCTAGTGGCCTTGGCCCCAAGGGTGGTCCCCAGGCCTCAACAGGGAAGCACAGCCTGGACAGCAGCCAGCCAGAAGGATGCCCTGAGACCCCACATCCCAGCTCCAAGACGGGCATGTGTTTCTGGGTCTTCCCTCCTAATACCCACATCTGCACACTGTCCCTGCCCCCGCCCCCACCACAGCCTAAGCTCCTTGGGGGACCGCATCCGGGGACCCCCGCTACTAGAAGCAGGTTTATGGGTAAGGACAAAAATCACAAGCCAGGAGAAGGAAACGGGGTGACTGGTTTTCATTAAGGATAATAATTAACACCCTCTCCTCCACACCACTGTGTTCCAAGCCACCATCATTCCCTAGATTCCTGCCACAGCCTCCAAACTTTGGTCCCTGACCCCTGCAGTCTACAGGTCAGGTCAAGTCACTTCTTGCCCCTAACACTGGGAATGAGAGCCAGAGGCTGTGCACCTGACAATATCGAGGCTCGGAGGAATCACCCGGAAAGAAAGCTGGGACTCCAAACCAAGCAGTTTGGACTCTAGGGTCCCCATTCCTGGCACCAGGCTCTGCCATCTCAGGAGAAGTGGGAGGTCACAAAGGATCTCTCTCGGCTGCTTAATTCAAGGAACCCACCGTGGGATGTCGGGCCCAGATGCACACCTAGGACAGGTGACAGAGCTGCCAGAAGCCGCCAGCAAGTTTAGTGACAAGAGTTCCACCAGAACCAAAGTTTATGTGTGGCAAGAGCACCTCTGTTTGTGAGCTAGCAGGTACCTGACCAGCCTTCCCTCCATGGGGGGTGGCCTTCAGGGGCTGGTGGGACACGTTACAGCCACCTGGCACTCAATTGCCACAGAGGGTTCGGGGCACCTGAGCACACTCAAAACCAGCTAACCCAAACCACAGAAATCTCCATTCCCCAAACTGTGCCTGTTCAGGTCCTACAGATTCCCTGCTGGAGGAAGCCACAGTCTGGCTTTTACTTATTTTAGGACTATTTCTAGTGTCTTCAATGTGCTAAGCTCCCATACACATTTGCTCTAATCTTCCCATAACCTTGTGTGGCAGGAACAGTCACCCTCCCCATTTGACAGATAAAGAAACTGAGGCATGAGAAGGTGAAGTCTGTCTCTCCGGGGCCAGTATTCAAAGCCACACTGCTTTAGGAGCAGCTTCTCCCACCCCCATTCCTGCCCCCTTTTAGCCCAGAAAGAATAAAATGAAGGCACATATCTAAGTCACCACCCACCCATCTCCTACATCTTGGAGGCAGAATGGACAGCCCATAATCCGTGTCCTTCCCCACCTCCATTCTGAATAATCAGAAGGTACCTGGAAGGGACGGGGCATTCCAAGGAACAACCTTGGTGACAAAGCAACAATAGTAATAGTCATTGTGTGCTGAAGCTTACATCTGCCAAGTGCTTTATTTACAATCAAGCCCCCTCCCCCAAAGACTGCCCAATAAGCCTAGGAGAGGGGAGCCACTGTCACTCCATTTTATGGGTGGGAAACAAGAGGTCCAGAGAGGTTACATAACTAGTTCATGGTCACACAGCTAGCCCAAGGCAGAGCGAGGACTGGACACAGGCTCCGACTACAGCCCACTCTGCTATTCTGTCTCCTGTGAAAAACTAAGAAATCATTCCACAGAGCACATCGGTTACAGAAGCTGGACACAGAAACACAAACTGCTAGCATCCCACGCAAATGGCCAAAGGCGCTCACTACTCACAGCCCCTCAACCGGCTTCCTCGCCAGGGCCCCAGTAGGTCAGCAAATCCAAGGTTTGGTTGTGTTAAAAACAAAAACAAAAACAAAAGTAACTGACGTGCAAAACACAGGACGTGTCTCAAGGCAGAAAGCGTGTCAGGTCTGGGCTTTGCAGCCTGCATGCCGGCCAAGATGGACCCTCAAGTTGCACGTGCCTCCCAGAGTGGTTGAGGGCCCTGCAACCTACGGGCAGACTGCAGCCAGGTTCTCGTACCCCCCTTTGCCCCAGTTGGTGACCCCTTGGCCTGAGTCCCCTCCAACTCACCCCAAGGATTAGAAACCTTTCTTCGGTTGCACTTCTACCGGACACTGAGGGGCTCTAGGACATAGGGCAAAGCATTAAGAACCCAACCTCGGGAATGGACCTCAGGACTGCCCTCTGCCCAGGAGCCCCGCAGGGAGACGAGGCCCTGGAACGCGGGTAATGAGGCAGAGCAAGCACCAGGGAGGACAGGAAGCGATTTCACAGACATGACCAGTGGGCTCTGGGTGTCTCCTCAAGCCGGCAGCTCCTTGGAAGACAACACACGGGCTCAGGGAAACGATGGAGCTCCCCAAACCATCACCCCAGAACACGCAGCCCCGGCCCTCAGTGAGGGAATCAAGCTGTACTTACTACTTTATAGTTGGGGTGGCAAACAAGTGGCCAACAGGCATGTTTTGTCTGGCCTGCCTATTAGTTTTTAAAATTTGAATCAATTGCCAAACTTTAAGAAGAAAAAAGTGAAACACCACATAAAAATCCAGATTCCTGATGACTCTCACAAAGGCGGTGACGTGGCCACGAGGGGCCCACGTGCATGAGGAGCCAGGGCTCTGTCAGAGCCCCCAGCACTCACCCCCCACCCCACTGGAGGCACTGGGCCCAGATTCACCACAGCCAGCGGGCACACCCCCACCTTGCCACAAAGCTGCCTGTGGGCCCCCCGGTAACCAGCCAGGCTCAAGTACTGCTCTCTGCCCCTCAAGACTTGGGCTCCTGGACAAAATGGCAAATGGGGTCCCAGCTATAGCAATAAAGCCCCAAACACTCCCCCGCCCCCAGCATAGGTTCCCATATAAACCACAAGCACCCGCCACAGATTTTCAAGGCTATGGTCAATTTTTAATGTTTTCCTGGGTCCAGGTCCAAGGGCTAGCCAAGATGTTGGGGTCACTGCCCAAGGGGGACCCTGCTGACTCCCTCAAAGAGACTGCAAATCCCTCACTTTGTATCACTTCCCAGGGTTAGTCCTTGACACCTGAGAAGGCCTTGTCTACGGCTGGTGTCTTCCTAACTAGGCCCAGGCTCACCTGACCTGCCCTGCACCTGGCAAGAGGGTAACCCCAAAGGTAAAGAGGTGTGGCCCTAAAGATGGGTGGGTGGGATGTGTGGGACGTCTCCAGGGAACAGGCCTCTCTCCTTCAATAAGTCACTGAGGGACCCTTCAGACCAAGGGCTCAGGGGTTCCAGGCCTAAGCCTATTTTGGGGCTCAAGCCTTTGTCTCCCACCCAGTGACCCTCCTCCCTTGCTATTCTCCACCCACACTGGGCCCCTAACCCTGGCCCAGTTTCCCAAAAAGGGGCCCACCATTTTGTTCTTCTTCCAGCCATCTTGTGGCAGCCTCACAGCCTACCAGCCTGCCTTGCTGGGACACCAGACGAGGGAGGGAAAATGGCTGGCAGCTAGGGATGGGGTGGTCACGGCTGACTGCTGGCTCTTTCTGGGGACGAGGGAAGGGAAGGGTTGGCAGAGGGGGGATTTTTAGGGATCACCAGGGCTGAGAAGAAATACCACCCTACACTCACAGGATAAATGGTATGCCAGACACCTCTGTTCTCTGGATAAAATATGAGATGCTGAATTAAATTTGAATTTCAGATATGTTAACAGTTTAGTATAAGTATGTCCCAAGTACTGCATGGGACATACTTACACTAAAATTTATACACATATATCGCTTATTTTTAAAAAGTTATTTCATTGTTTATCTGAAATTCAAATTTAACTGGGTGTCCTGTAATTTTATTTGCTAAATCTGGCAACCCGATGTCCCAGACACTAGTGAAAGGCATGGTTGGTGGCCACGCAGTTAATAAACAACCCAAAGCCTCAAGGACTGACTGGAAGGCCTATTCTAAAAGTACAGCGAAGGTGAGATTTGGCTTCTCGGGGCTGGGGAAACCCTGAAAATAAGGCGAAGTCTTTTTTGCTTAAAACGGGCAGAAAGAAAAAAAAAAAAAAAAAAAGAAAATCAGCAAAACACATACTTTATGGCGTCCACCTTACAATAAGGACACCGTTAGTGGCTGCTTCTGTTTGCAGGAATAGGTGCTTTTGGAGACATGATCTCGTTCTAGGAGGGAGAAAGCAGCACCAGACCCGTGGCTGCCATGGTTAAAGAAGTTCCGCAGTTTGCCCAAGGTCACGGCAAGGAAGTGAACTGGAAGCCCAGCCAGGAGATCCTGAAGCCTGAGGTCTTTATCATGACCTGTTTCCCGAAACACAGGGAGGGAGGGAGACCCGTTCTTCTTCCCTTCCCCCAAACACAGGCCAGGCCAGAGGGGGGCCCCAGGCTGCCTGTTCTGCCACCCCCCGGGGGTAGAAAGCCCTATAGGTCCATCTGCCCTCCCTGCAGAGCACTGGCAGACTGGCTCCACAGAAGCATCTGTCAGGGTACCGAGCCTCTGTCCTGCTGGGAACCTGGAGCAGAAGGCCCCACCACGCCTCCTGGAACAGAGAAAGGCAGCTTGCCCCCAGCCCCTTTCTCACCTCCAGGCCTTGACAGAAGGGAATCAAGGCCAGACACCGGTTCTTTCTTTGCCCCGGGAATAAGGCAGAGGACAACCCCAGCCTTCCCTCTGGGAATCCCACAGGAGAGGGGACTGTGGGCTTGTTTTCCCGTGTGTGTTTTGGCCTGAAGCTGTTTCTGCCATTTTTAAATGGCTCCAGTTGGGCACTGGGCACCCTGCGTGCCCCGGGGAAGCTCCCACAGCACCGAAAACTCGGATCTCAACTTTGGAAGGCCTCCCCTTCTCACGGTTCTGAAAATTCTTTGTCCCACTGGAGCCAAACCCAGCCCTTGGCCGGGCATCCGGCCATCCGCAGACAGCCCTTTCCATAGGAGGCCCGGGAGCACGTGGACTTTATTGATTTTCCTCTTGCCTTTTTTGTTGGGTTTGACTCAGAAAGGACAGCTAACTTGTGACACGGCTAGGCTGGAGGCTCACCCCCAGTGGTTTTTAGAGACCAAGGCATTACTCAAGAAATGACACCCCTAAACATAAACATATCCCACCAGGGGCCTGCCCAGTTTTTAGTCTTTAAATAAAAAGGGTCAGGACGAGCCCGCGGGGGCTGACACTCGAGATCGTCGCGGCTGCTCCTCTCCCTCCCTGACCCTGGTGAAGCCGTGGGAAAAAAATAATAAAGTTGAAATCAAGGAGCTGGGAGTTTTCAACAAGTCTGCCCCAACCTGGGGAGGTGCTTGCGCCTGGGGCCTGGCCCGCGGGCCGATTGGGAGCCAGACCCCGCTGAGGCGGCGAACGCGTTCAGTCGTATTAATTACAACAAGGCCACGCCGGACAGACTCCAACGTGAGCTCGAAGAACACGCACGGCCAGCACCGAATCTCCTCTCCCCCGCGCGGAGAACAAAAACAACGGCTCCCTCGGCAAAACAAACACGAGCCGCTGCTTTGGGAAAGGCAGACTCGGCCGAGGACCGGTTTCTGGCCAAGAAGATTCGCCCGCCGACCCCCGCGCGCGGGCGCCTGCCGGCCAGGGCGGGCTGGGCGGGGGAGCCGGGCGCCCCGGGCCCGCGGCCGCCCCGGCGCTTCCTCCTCGCGCTCGCCCCCATCTTTCTTCCTCGCCGAGAGCCCTCGCTCCAGGCAGCCCAAAGCGCTAAATTTAAACGGCTCGCGCTCTGCAAACTCCGCAGACTCGAGGGCGCCGGGCCTGGGAGGCGGGGAGCGAGCGAGCCAGCCAGCCGGGGAGGGAGGCGGGAGGGAGGCCCGGCGCGGGCAGGGGCGCGGGGGGCCGGCGCTGCGCCGCCCGGGGCGCGCGGGGACGAGACGGAGACGGCGGCGGCCCGCTCGGTGCCTGCACAATGGAGCTCGCGCTCTCCCCTCCGCCGCCGGCATCGCGGCCCCGGCGCGCGGGAAGCCGCTTTCATGTGACTTGCACAAAACGAAATGGCTTCTGGGGCCGGCCCCGAGCCCCCCTCCCGGGAGCCGAGCGCCGCGGCGGGGCCGGCCCGCCGCTACCCCGCCCGGCCCCGGGGCGCCCCGCTGCCTCCAGGCTGCCGCCGCCGCCGCCGCCGCCGCCGCGCCAGGTGGGCGACAGGCGCGAGCGCACCTGGGCAGCGGCCGCGGCCCCCGCCTCGCGCAGGTGACCCGGCTCGCGCGCCGCCCGCCGCTCCAACTCCGGGCCCGCGGCCGGCCCGCGGCGCGGCGCCCGCCGGCTTTTTGTATGCGCTCCGGGGGTCTGGGGCGGCCGCGGCGCCGGGCGGGCGGGCGGGCGGGCGAGCAGGCGCCTCCGCTTACCATTTGCGCACTTTCTCGATAGCCGCCATGACCCTCTTGATATCATCTTTGGCGCGGCTCCTGGTCTCGGCTCGAACCGACCTGCCCGACATGGTTCTGGCGGGGAGAGAGAGGCTGGGGGAGCGCGCCCGCCGGGTCCTCCTCGCGCTCCGCGGCGGCCACACTCGCGCCCGCCCGCCCGCTCACTCACTCACACACACACACACACACTCTCTCACACACTCACACACACACACACAAAGCCGGAGCCGCCGCGCGCCCGGGGCCCAGTGCGCAAGCGCCGGGCGCCAGCTGCACCGAGCAGGGGGAGCAGCGCCGCCGCGGCCGCCAGCAGTGCGGCCTCCGGGCGCCGCCGCCGCCGCCGGCCAGCGCCGCGAGCCGCGCCCGGCCCTCCAGCGAGGCGCCCGCGACCCCCCGCTCCCCGGGGAGGCGGCCGGGGGCGGCCGGCGACCCCCGGCGACCCCCGGCTCCCGGCGCGCGGAGGGTGGGGGGGGGTGGGCGGCGAGGCGCGGGGACACTCGGAGGCCGCAGGTGCCGCGGGGTCCCCCGGGGAGGGCGCGCCGGCGGGGCGGGGCGGGCGGCCGTGGAGGGGGCGCATTCCTGGGGAGCCAGCTCGGCGGCTGGTCCGCTGCCCCGGGTGTGTGGCAGCGGGTGCAATAATGCAAGTTTCCTGTGGGGCTCCCGACTTCTCAGAGTTGAAGGCGGCGATTCGGGATGCGAGGTGCTCTTGGAAAGAGTTGGGAAGCACGGATCTCTGCTGGCCCTCTGCCCTGTGCAAACACGCGAGCTAGGACGTCGCTTGCCTTTCCCTCGTCCTTTTGGAAAACTAGAATCGGAGGAAAGGTGCCAGGGGCGAGGCGACCACGAGACATTCGACCTTGCCTGTTAAATACTTGCCGCGAAGGAACAGTCAACGATTATCAGCCTTTCATCTGGGGCTCTTCCTTTCCCTCTGGGGCTGCTGTCGGAGAAGCACGATTTAAATTGAAGCCATTCCTGACCGGAGTCCCAGGCTCAGACCAGGTGCTGCTACCGTGCAGATGGCCCTAGCAGGTGAAATGGGCTGGCCGGCCTACCAGGGGGACTTCTGCGGTGGTTTCTTCTCCATCGTGCCTCAGGACAGCTCTAGCTCTGTGGAAGAATCTGCAATTATCAGGATAACCCAGGTGGCCACATGTTTGGGTTCAGCTGCCGATAAACCGACTTGACCAAAGCTAATTCATTACCAGACGGGGGCTAGAGCAAGTGAGGGTGACCCTGTTAGCAAACCCAGTGTCTTGGAGACAGTCCAACACCATTTTATCCATGGGGAAACTGAGTTCCAGGGAAGCTCAAGGTCACAGCCATAAGCTAGACCCCAGACTCCCATTTATTCTGGAACCAAGCAGTTTCCCCTGAGATTTTGGATTTGGGGAGAAAAGCTACTGGGGAAATGGGATGCCTAATACAAAAAATAAGATAGTACCTCAGTGAGTCATTCTGAACATTATATAAGAAGATATGTCACAGCAGGTTATAAAACAGCGGTCTCTACTGTTGGCCCTCTGATGGCTTAGGGCCACAAAGAACTTCTGAATACATATGTCTGAAAAAATAGGAAGATATCTGGGGCACCTGGTTGGCTCGGTAGGAGGAGCATGCAACTCTTGATCTCCAGGTAGTGAGTTCGAGTCCCATATTGGGTCTAGAGATTACTTAAATAAATAAAACTTTAAAAAAATAAAATAGGAAGATATCAAAAATTCAAATATCAACTGATGAATGGATAAATGTGTATATCCACACAATAGAATGTTATTTGGGTATTAAGAAGGAATGAGGTACTGACACATGGCACAACATAGATGAACTTTGAAAAACATGGTAAGTAAAATAGGCCAGTCACAAAAGGACAAATATTGTATGATTCCACCTACATGAGATATCTAGACAGGGCAAATCCATAGAGACAAAGCAGATTGGTGGTTGCCAGTGGGTGGGGGTGGGGAATAGAGAGTGACTTCCAAGGGGGTGGGGTTTCTTTTTGGAGTGATGAGAAAGTTCTGGAACTAGATAATGGTGATTATCATACGTATCATGAATGTACGTAATGCCACTGAACTGTACACCTTAAAATGGTTACAGTGGTCAGTTTTATGTGTATTTTACCACGATAAGAAGAAATCCAAATATCTAGCTTCTCCAGAAAAAGCAGAAGATCTACAGACTGGTACCCCGGTGCCACGCGGTAACAATCAGTTGGAGGTGAGGAGCCCTGTGCCCCTCAGACAAAGCTTTCCAGGTCACCAGTGTATCACCAGGTCACTTAACTCATTCGTATTACCAGATTGCCCCTGAAGGTATTTGTGTACTTTTTTTTTTTAATTTAATTTTATTTTTTTTTAAGATTTTATTTATTTATTTGACAGAGAGAGACACAGCGAGAGAGGGAACACAAGCAGGGGGAGTGGGAGAGGGAGAAGCAGGCTTCCTGCAGAGCAGGGAGCCCGATGCGGGGCTCGATCCCAGGACCCTGAGATCATGACCTGAGCCGAAGGCAGACGCTTAACGACTGAGCCACCCAGGCGCCCCGGTATTTGTGTTCTTGATCTCTGATTAAACTATAAAGCTTTCTACAAATGTCCTTTATAAATCTAGCATGTCACTTTTCCTAGTTCCCTGTCCCCTGCAGATATTTTTAACCTTTCTCTCAACAAAGCATGGTTGTTTTACAGTCTGTGTCTGATAATTCTAATATTTGAAGTATCTGAGGGTCTGTTTCTCCTAGTTCTTGCTCATGGTGTCCTATTTCCTTGTGATCTACCTGGTTCTCTTCAGCCAGGCTGGACACTGTATTTGAAAATTTATTTATAGGGATAATTTGAGGCTTAGGATGAAGTTACCTTCCTCCAGAGATGATTTACATTTGCTTCTGCCAGGCTCCTGAGGGCACTGCTATTCCAGGACTATCTATATCCAAATTCAGGGCTTATGGGTCCCTGGACCACCCAGGTGATACAAATACAGGCCACCCTATTGAGCTAGTCTGGTTTGCTTATTGTACCCTCTGGAGGCGGGGTGGGGTGGGGGGGTATCAATGATGTGAGCAACTGGCTGACAGGCGTGCACTTCCCAACTCTGTGTATAGTGACCCCTTGTTGATGTTTGAAATCAACTGTAGCAGGAGTATTTACATTATGGAAATTGGCAAATGCTATACATCAGGACCCTCTCCCCAACCTCACCCGGAGCTGGTTGGCAAACATTTACCAGCATACCAACAGGGTCTCAAATTATCGTGGGGGCAAGTCTCATCTCCCACCTGGACTTTTATTTCTGGCCTCTTGCCTCAAAAAACCATTCATGCTAGAGTTCAAATGTTCTAGATTTGACAGATATCTGCCGGGTTAAGATGGCTTCTTTGCTGGATTATCTTTCAGGGTTCTCGTTTTCCTTCCATTTCAGCTATTCCTTCTTATTTTGTCAGCATGTGGTGGCTTTTAGAATGTTTTGATACTTTTTCTACCATTTTTAGTTGCTTTTAGCTTGAGAGTTCCTCTGGATCCCTGGTTACCAGAAACTGGGAAGTCGGGCTCTCTCTGAATGTTATTATTCTAGATATGTTAAAAAGGTTACAGAAGTGAGTTATTTAGTTATGGCTTGTGGCTTAACCTCTCTGGGCCTCATCTGTAAAATGGGATGGAAAGAACACCTGCCTCACGGAGCTAGCATGAGAATTAAACACAGTATTTGTCAAGGACTGAGAACAGTGCTTGGCACATAGTAAGTGCTAGAGACCAGAAAATATTTGTTAAAATAAAGGATCTGGTGATCCCTTGCATCATTATGACCCACACAAGGTCAACTGCCTCTCTTTCCTGGGCTGCTGAATTCAACACTTAATCCACTGTGACACGGGGAGAGGGCTGGTGAGGCGGTCTGCCCCTCTGGAGTGTGATACATAATTGTGAAGAAGCTCAGGCCCAGCTCCTGCTTCTAGGCAGCCTTGGTCCTCACCTAGCAACTTGCAGCGGCTAGCTGTTTTCATAAACAGTGGTGCTTTGGTGTTTGGGGAGCAGGCCATTAGCAGAGGGAGAGTACTGAAGAGAACGCTCCAACCACAGAATGAAATATAGTCCCCTCCTTGGAGACAGGAGCCAAAGGGTGTGCCGCAAGGTATGAAACCCCCCTCCTGTGCGGAAAAGGACAATAAAATGCAAGAGTCACGCAGCCAGCTAGCAGACTTCTGGCCAGAACCCTGCTCTCCTGTTGTGGTCTCCAGGATTCCCCCCTCCACATCCATCATAAGGTTGGAAATCAGCATGGTGGGAATGTTGACACTCTGGAAGCTGGCAAGTGCTATTCATCAGGAGCCTCCTGGCCCTCCTCCACCCAGAGCTGGTTGGTAAACATTTACAAGCATACCACTGGTGGAGCTTAATGGGGTCCCAAACAATTGTGAGGGACATCTCCCCAGAAGTGTGGGCCTTATAATAGACTGGGGAGGTCTTGAAAAAAGAGGGTTTTTCGACAAACCAGATATTGCAATCTGCCTGTCCATATCTTTCTCGCCTAAAACTTAGAAATGGTTACCAGCTCAAATACCAGTAAACTGGCAATTTGCATATCCATCCATGCAACCATTGGCTTGCCCAGAAATTGGGCCACTTGAGGTTATATAAAAATAAAGAGATAGTAGACATGAAGTGCTTTGAAATACTGAGGCATTCAAAGGTGAATCAGTGTAATCCAGAAGCTCTTCTAACAATGAATGATTAAACACAGGGTGTCTGCTCAGGACCCAGTGACTTGGAGCAAAGTTAGAGACCTGTCCACAAACAGGCTTGGTGAGTTCTCCAGTTAGGAATCTAGAAGGCTGCCCAAATGCCTTCTGCCTCCTTCCTGCATGCTGCCCAGCATCTGAATATCCTTCCCCGTTCTGGGTGAGCCCTTGGGGATGAAAGCCACCCCCCACTACAGAAGCTACAGTGGGGTCTTTCTCCCTCTCCTGCCAGGGCGTTAGATCCTGGGCATGGGTCCCAACCTTAGCCAGCTGGCGGATGGTTTAGCCAGTCGGTTTTTTAAAATAATAGCTTTATTGAAATATAATTAGCATACCATAAAATGCACCCTTTTAAAGTGGTTTTTAGTATGTTTACAGAGTTGTGAAACCATCGCCACAATTATTTTTAGAACATTTTTGTCATCTGAAAAAGAAACCCTCTACCCATTAGCAGTCACTCCTCTCCCCTCCCAACACCCGCCCCCCCCAGCCCCAGGCAACCACAAATCTACTTCCTATCTCTATGGATTTGCCTCTTCTGGACATTTCACATACACGGAATAATAATCTGTGTCCTTTCGTGTCTATCTTCTTAGCATATTTTCAAGGTTCATCGATCTTGTAGCAGGTATTAATACTTCATTCCTTTTTATGGCTGGACAATACTCCATTGCTTGGATTTATCACATTTTGGTTATTCAGTCGTTGGTTGATGGTTCCCCCGTTTGGCTCTTCTGAATAAAGTTACTATGAGCATTACCACACAGGTTTTTGTACAGATGTGTTTTTCCATTTCTCTTGCCTATATAGACGGAGGAGTAGAATTTCTGGGCCATATGGTAACTCTAACATTTTGAGGAGCTGCCAGACTGTTTCCCACGGCAGCTGTACCATTGTGTGTCGCCATCAGCCGCGCACGCGCCTTCCAACTTCTCCACATCCTCACCGACACTTGTTCTTTTCTGTCTTTTTTTATTTTAGCCATCCCACTGGGTGTGAAGTGGCATCTTATTGGGCTTTTGATTTTGACTTTGATTTGTGAGGCAGTGGAGCAGCAGTGGGGAAAATGACGTACAGCAGAAGTGGCCCCTGGAGAGCCCAAGAGCGTTGGAGGCACTGAGCTCATGGCGAGGCGGGGCCGTAACATCTGGCCTTCTTTCGTTCCCTCTCATTTTCAGAACTTGTTTCTCCAGTCTTTGCATTGCTTCTGTAAGTTACCGGATGGTCTTCAAGTAAAGTCCCTTTCCACTGGAGCTAACCAGAGCCACTTTCTTTTGCTGCACATCGAAGATCATGATTGATACTGTATTTAAGCTATCCCTTAGCCTTGACACTTATTTATACTTCCTGAATTGCGTCTTGTTGCCATCCTTCACTTCTCCCCAAACTACTGTAATAGTCTCCTTGCCGTTGTCCCTCTTCCCAGCCATCCCCTCCTGCCCATCACCCACCCAGTCCTATGCTCCTGAGATGCAATTGTAATCCACTTCTCCTCCGTTACTTTATTTTTTAAAATTTTTTTTATTTTTTATTTTATTTTTAAAGATTCCATCCATTTATCTGACAGAGAGAGACACAGCGAGAGGGAACACAAGCAGGGCGAGTAGGAGAGGGAGAAGCAGGCCTCCCCGTGGAGCAGGGAGCCCGATGTGGGGCTCGATCCCAGGACCCCGGGACCACGACCCCAGCCGAAGGCAGATGCCCAGCGACTGAGCCACCCAGGCGCCCCTTATTTTTTTTTAAGGATTTTATTTGTTTATTTGACAGAGATAGCGAGAGCAGTAACACAAGCAAGGGAGTGGGAGAGGGAGAAGCAGGCTTCCTGTCGAGCAGGGAGCCCGATGTGGGGCTCGATCCCAGGACCCTGGGATTATGACCTGAGCCGAACGCAGACACTTAACCATCTGGCCACCCAGGTGCCCCTCCTCCGTTACTTTAATCTTCAAGTTTAACCTCCTTGATTTAGGGCACAAGGCCATCCATAATGTAAGCACTGCTTTCTCTGGGTTGCTCTCCTGCCACCACCCCTAGGGACCCCACAGATTGGCTTAGAGTGCCTCATTGATATAATTTCCTCTCTACCTGCCCTGATCTCCTCCTCCTTCCCACCCCATCTGCTCTAGATGCCCCTGTATCATATCACGAGGTACTGTAATTATCATCGACATGTGTTTCCCTCATTACAATGTAACCTTCTTAAGGGCAAGAACCAGGCTCTGTGCCACATTGTATCTAGGGCTTACCATGCTGTGTTGACACTGAGGTCACTTAGTAAGAGGATCTGTAGGCGACCGGTTATGGCCATTCCCTCATTTATCGTGAAGAAGTCGAGAAGGCAGAGGTGGCCAACCAGACACTGAGGAAGGGGTGAGTGGCATGCATTTGCTGACGCTTTCCTGCCTAGCTGGCTGCCTTCTGGCAATTACCAGCGATTAGGGGGAAGGTAGATTGTGTATGAAGGAACAAGATCACGGAGAAAACTGTGGTTACATTTTTTTAAGATATTGAAATCTCTGGAAAACTACGGAAGATGAAACGATGCCAACTCAGGATGTAAGGTTTATGAAGCTGGAGCCAGCTGTGAGCATTTCCCCCTTTGGCTTGTGTCACGTAAAAGAACATGTCAGCTTCAGGGCTGGCTCCACACATGCTTATTGATGGTCTTTCCTGGGATCCTCAATCTCACACCAAGACTCTGGATATAAAGAAACGAGAGTGGCCAAATCTCCCATTTGGGAGACCCGGCTAGCCTCCCTTCCTCCTGCTGACAGTTCATGTGAAAACATTCCTACTCAGACTCACGAGGAAGAATCATATAGAAGAAACTTCTAGACCCCTGAAGACATCGTGTTGAGCCTACATCCCCCCTCAATGGTCACTGAATCTTCTGGCTTTGGTGCATACTGTCCTCTCTGTCCGGAATGTTCTCCCCTATCTCTTTCCACGACTGGCTCTCAACATCTATGTCTTGTCTTCGGAGAGACCCCTCCCGACCATCTTAAGTAAAGCACATTCCCCTCTTGGTATTCCAGGTCACAGGGTCTGGGCTTTTTCTCCAGGACTGCGAGCGCAACCTGCAATGACCCTTTATGTGTTTGTTTCGCGAGAGCCCCCTAGAGACAGTGGCCACGCCTGTCTTGCTCAGCACCGCATACCCAGGGCTGGTGCACAGGAACCATTGGCTGAATTCATGAGTGGACAGAGGGATGGGCGAAGCCCGTCTACGAAGAGCTCAGGCGCTCGGAGAGGAGAAGCCAGGCAGCAGTCGGCCCCTTCGATAGGACAGTGTGCTCTGAGTCTGCCACGGCCCCCTCTCCTTCGTGTTGGAGCCTGCCCTTGATGTGCTCTCGGTGCTTCAGACCCCAGGGCCGCAGCACTGCTCACGGCTCCCTGCTCCAGGGATCCTCAGTCTCACACCTTTCTGCACCACCCCAGTGGTGGTGCTGGCCAGCGGAGGGCCGGGGGACTCGCCCCTTGCAGCATGCGCTGCTGTGTTGTTTGAAGTGCTGGGGAGGAGGGTGTACTAGCTCCTTGTAACTAAACTTGTTTCCCTCCCAAAGAAAGCACCCCTGCTTGCTTTAAAGAGTAAGATATACAGGGCGCCTGGGTGGCTCAGTCGTTAAGCGTCTGCCTTTGGCTCAGGTCATGATCTCAGGGTCCTGGGATCGAGCCCCGCATCGGGCTCCCTGCTCGGCGGGAAGCCTGCTTCTCCCTCTCCCACTCCCCCTGCTTGTGTTCCCTCTCTCGCTGTCTCTCTCTGTCAAATAAATAAATAAAATCTTTAAAAAAAAAAAAAAAGAGTAAGATATACAAAAATAAATACCATGTTTACACTGATGTGGTTTGTGACTTCCAATCAACAAAACAAGAAAACACGAAGGACTTGGGACAACCACATTCCGTGGCGACATCTCGGATGTTGAACTCCCCCCCACCCCCAACCGCACCACTGGTCATTGCAAACCACCAAGAACGGACCGGGGCACTAAGTACCCATTGTGACCGAGAAAGGCAGGAGGCCTGCCTCACCGATCAGCGGCTCAGGATAACAAGCTAAAGGGCACAGGGACCCCGCTCTTAGCTGTCCTGTGAGGTCAGTCGGTCGTTATACTCTGTATTGCACTGCCATGGAAGAATGTCACATCGACCTGGGTTGTTGTTTAAGATTTTATTTTTAAGCAATCTCTACCCCCAGCGTAGGGGTCGAACTCATAACCCCGAGATCAAGAGTCGCACGCTCTACCGACCGAGCCAACCAGGAGACCCTGGCTTTGTTTTTTGTATTTTGTTTTTTTCCTTTAGGCTAAGCTAGCAGAGGGTAGTTCTATGACATACGAGTAGGGTGGCAACTTGCTGTTAATTCCCAATGCCCTGTATCTATTTATTACAGTCAATTTGGAAGCAGCTGCCTGCAGGGGAACTGTTGGCCAAATCCCTAAAGAACGTGTTCAGGCCGAAAACACCAGTGTTGAGGGTAGCCATGGCTTAAGGACACAGATCTTTAAAAAAAAGACCCTTCTTGTCTGCATTGCCTGGAAGTGCAGCAGAGGCTCATGTTTGCAGAGGATAGACAGCAAGTGGGGTGACCCCAAAGCAGCCGGCCCTGACTAGCTTCAGGAGTGTTTGCTTGAGAATGGAGAGGTGCAGGGCAGAGCACAGAAACGATTCAGGGGTGACTCAGTCAGAAAGGTGGTGCAGATTTCTTTTTTTTTTTTAAGTTTTAATTTTGAGATAATTTTAGATTTTTTAGAAGATTTATTTATTATTTTAGAGAGAGAGAGAAAGTGTGGGGAAGGGGAGAGGGAGAGAGAAAATTTAAAGCAGACTCCCCGCTGAGCATGGAGCCTGATGCGGGGCTCCATCTCACGACCCTGAGATCATGACCTGAGCCAAAACAAGAGTCGGACGCTTAACTGACTGAGCCACCCAGGTGCCCCAAGATAATTTTAGATTTATAGGAGAGTTGCAAAGGTAGAAGAGAGAGTTCCCAGGGACCACTCCCCCAGCTTCCCAGGTGTGTATACGCTATGTAACCACTATATTGTGATCAAAACTAAGAAATGAACAAGGCTGCAAAGCTGGTAACTACACTAGAGACCTCACCTGGATTGCATGCTTTCCCCAACATCCTCCTCCTGTTCCGGAAATCCGTTCTGGGATCCCGTTTTGCCTTTCTCCACCATGTCTCCCTAGTCTCCTCCGGTCTGTGATGGTCTCTCAGTCTTGTCTTGCTTGTCACGACCTTGACAGGTTTAAAGAGCACTGGTCAGGTCAGTTGTAAAGATGCACTGTGTTCATAAAAATCTGTTGGGATGAGTGATCCTGGCCTCGGAGGTAGAGTGGCTTACAGCCCGAGGGACAAATGTGGCTTGCAAGTTAAGAATGGTTTTCACATTTTTTAATGGTTGAAAAAAAAATCAAAAGAAGGTGATTTTGTGATATATGGAAATTATCGTGAATTCCCATTTCAGTGTCCACAAGTAAACATGATTGGAACGCAGTGATAATCATTCATTTCTAGATTGTCTGTGGTTGCCTTTGTACTCCAGTGGCCAAGTCAGGGATTGTGACAGAGCCCATTTGACCTGCAGAGGCTCAATATTTACTCTCTGGATCTTTATAGAGAAAGTCTGCTGACCCGATGTAGAGAGCCTGGCAGGACTTGGTGTTTGCCTTTATTTGAAAGCAAAGCCAGCTATTAAAGAGCTCCAAGTGCATCTGTCCAGTCATTCCACAGATACTATTGAGGGTCCTTTGTCAAAGCCAGCAGAGACCCCTATTTGGGCAAGCGCTAAGGAAGCCAAAACTTTGGAACTGGAGACAGTTAGTGCTCATCAACCACCTCCCCAGGTCTCTGTGCAGTTTGTCCTGTAATAATAGCTGCTGTCCTATTTTGAGCTCTGCCTTATGCTGGTAACGCTTTACTTGCACCCTCTCCTTTAATCCTCTCAACCAGCCAGGAGCTGTTCCAGGAGGAAACCGAGGTTTCTGAGACGAGCCACAGGCACACAGGGAGTCCTGAAATGGCAGGAGCAGAGAAGCTCAGTCAAGCCCATGGGCTTCCAAGGCAGACGCTGTGCAAAGAATTTACTCGCCATGCTGGGGAACAGCCCTGGGGTCTGGAACAGAGGGGGCGAGGTGGGGTGCGGCGGGGAGGCTCCTGTTGGTTCCTGAACTCTAGAAGCAACAAACCAGGACGGTTTGGTTGGCCAGTAGCTGGAGGCCCTGTCCGAAACAGTGTTCTCCCTCCAAAGGAACATCACAGTGTTCAGTGTTTGGGCCCTAAGTCCATGATTATACTTCTTTGGCCCTTCCTTGCTCCCTTCCTGGTGTCGCTGCTCGGCCATGCACACTGTTGGAGAGTCTGGGGGCTCTGCTCACTCCGCAGGAAGGCTGCCCTCCCCTTCCTCCCCTGGATGGGGGAGCTGATGTCCTACGCCTCCAACATCCGTGTGGCCAGCAGGTGGGGCCTGCTGGGGATGGGAGACAAAGGGCCTCCTGGCGCTGAAAGGTGCACAGGTCTTCTCCATGTTGGTCAAACAAGTTGAGAGACTCCCGAACAAAAGCACCTGCAGAAGGGGGCCCCCCAAAGGTGAGAAGGGGACCCCCTGGCCAAGCTGGGCTGGGAGTGGTTGGAACACTATTGACAGGAACCCTGCTGTCCCCTGCTGTTTTGGCCTCCCCTCCTGGAGGGGACTTGGAGACAGGGCAGCTGGTTCAGCACAGTGGGAGCCCCTCAGCTGTGGTGTGACCATGGTTCCAGATCACTGGTCCAGGCACAGCGGGGCAGACCACTGGCCAGTTCTGCTCAAGACAGTTATTCCAATACATGCAGTCAACAAAAACAAAAGCAGAATGTGCCCAATTTAATGAAAGAAGCCTCTGGTTGGTGTCCAGACTGAATCCAATTCTGAGTAAATTTGTGAAGAGAACAAGTCATCTGAGAGTTTCCTGTTCCCTAAAATGTCCCCAGGAACTTTTTAACTGGCTTGGTAATATATCTCCTAAGCCCTTAGCAGCTGCAAAATGATTCATAAAGCTTGGAGGTGGGGTTGGTTGTTTTGGTTCTTACAAAACGTAAACCGGGTTGCCAAGCCCAGCAACACAACTCGATGAGCAGGTGCTACGGAACCCGGGCCCACGCCGTCTGCCCCACAGTCACCGTGACACAGCCTGGTTTGGGGTAGACAGTTCTGTTCTACATTCCAGGGTGTTCCAAAAACTCACTGAAGCCAAGTCTCCAAGTGGACACCAGGCAGCGGGGAGGGCTCTGTGCACGAGGGATGGTGCTACTGTCATTTACTTCTCTCACACAGACTCTGCTCCTGAGGAGGAAGGGCCCTTAGGGGAGCCTAAATGTCATCTCCCACGCCAGGGCCTCTGGGGAAGGACCTGGTTTGGGTGGGAGGGTGTGATGGACTGAGCACGCGTGGAGAATCACATTTGGCACATATGTCTGCATGAGAACTCGTTACTGATAACAAATCTTCAAAATCAGGGGCGCCTGGGTGGCTCAGTCGTTGAGCATCTGCCTTCAGCTCGGGTCATGATCCCAGGGTCCTGGGATCAAGCCCCGCATCGGGCTCCCTGCTCGGCGGGAAGCCTGCTTCTCCCGCTCCCACTCCCCCTGCTTGTGTTCCCTCTCTCGCTGCCTCTCTCTGTGTCAAAAAATAAATAAAATCTTTAAAAAACAAACAACGCCCCCCAAAAAAACAAATCTCTAAAATCAGACCAGCACTTTCACCTGTTTACAAAATGACGGTACTTTTTACTCTCAAGGTCAAAACACCGCTGAAGACTCAGTAATGTTCCCCAAATATCCCCCGAACTGGGCTCCGTTTTTGCCTGTGTTTTGAAGCCCAGTGGAATATGGGGCAGTGATCTCCCCCCCGGCTTGGGGGAGGGTGTGGGGGAGGGGGAGGCTCGCAGACTCTAGTCGCTGAGTTCTGCCCTCTGTGGGGCTGGCCAGGTGGTTTCTGGCCCAGGTGCAACGCACACAGGGCCCCAGGGGTGCTTTTTTGCATTTTCTCTGGCAGTTGCCACCGGGGTTAAGCATGGCCAGTGATGCTCTTCATAACGGCCACACACAACTGCTTAGGTGTTTTGCTGAGGAGAAGCCACGAGCAGGGACTCTCAGGAGCCCAGAGCACCCAGCTCCCCCCTCCCACCCGAGTCAAACCTCAGGCCGGGGTGATCCACATGAGGTCGAGGGTCCAGGTGGCACTTGAGGGGAAGGGAATAAGGCCGCACGTGTCCCTAGGAAGGCCTGCTGCGGGTGGAGGCCCTCTCTGCCCCCAGGACCAGCCCACCTCCAGGTCCTTTCCAACCCCGCTCTGGTAGCACTGCCTTAGATTAAGCAGAGAGACAGGCCAGGGTATCCAGCCACCATGTACATCCAGCTACCAGTGTGTTTCTTGCCTCCACCCACTTTCTTATTTCAGAAACAGCGGAATGTCCAACTTTGTGAATTCCATTGCTTAACAGAAATTTGCTTTTAATGTCTAAATGTTCCAAAGATTAGTGGGGGCAGGGAAATGCAGGAAAAGCAGTGCCTCTTGGAAAACACACACACACACACACACACACACACAAACCCGCACACACAAAGTCCTTTGTGTTTCAAACATTCCTTACAACTTCACTGACCATAGGATCTTGTCTGAAATCTTGTGAAATGGTTAGGCCAAGAATGTCTGTCGTGAATATTTCTGCAGTGATTTCGTCTGGAAGTTCTTCTTCAAAGCAGATTTCTGAACCTAGCCAAACAAGCAAAGAAAACAAATGCCTTCATAACGATTAGGTTTCTAACTAAGAAGCATTTTCCAAAAAATACAAGGAACCGATACTAAACAAAAGTGAGAGGTGCTTTGTGCTACGGTTTGGCTGGGAGTCCTAAAACCCCCCTGGGTGGAAATTGGCTGAAATCCCTTCTTTATGGTTTGGAGCTTGTTACCAAATCTCTGTGAACTTCATTGTAAAGCCTTAACCACATGGTAGGGTTGATTTATGTGTAACACCTGGGAGCGTTACATTCTGAGGTCCCGAGTACACAAGGAATGGGGTGGGGGACTTTGGAGGCTGGAAATGACCCACCAGATACTGGAGTCTACAACTGTCTGAGTTCAGAAACCCTGTTTAATGTGAAACTGGGGATGAACAATGAAAGCTGAGGGAGGGGGTGCCTGGGTGGCTCAGTCGGTTAAGGGTCTGCCTTCGGCTCGGGTCATGATCCCAGGGGCCTGTGATCAAGCTCCACGTCAGGCTCCCTGTTCAGTGGGGAGTCTGCTTCTCTCTCTGCCTCTCTCCCTGCTTGTACTCTCTGTCAAATAAATAAATAAAATCTTAAAAAAAAAAAAAAGGAAAATAGCTATCTGAAGTCTTCATGGGGTTGCTTAAAAAAGAAAGAAAGCAAGCAGAGGGAGAATGACGCCTGGTGAGGGGTCAGTAATGGTGGCAGGCTTTCACCACTGCAGGGCATCAGGCAGCATCTGGGGCTTGGCAGTGGAGACACCCCTGCAGGCCCGGGAGAGCTGTTTATTTTTTTTTTTAATTTTTAAAAAATATTTTATGTATTTATTTCAGAGAGAGCGAGAGCACGAGCAGGGAGAGGGGCAGAGGGAGAGGGAGAAGCAGACTGTCCACTGAGCAGGGAGCCCGACGTGGGGCTCGATCCCAGGACCCTGGGATCATGACCCAAGCTGAAGGCAGACGCTCAACCAACTGAGTCATACACACGCCCCTCGGGAGAGCTGTTTAGACTGGTTTCTCCAGAACTTAAATTCATAAGGCCCATTTTCCTCCCTCCAGTGGACTAAAGAGGGAGGTGGGCAATCCTCCGGCAGGAGAGGAGAGGAGGACGAGCTTTAGGAACTTTCAAGCACTAGCAACTCAAAGCCGGGCTTGTGCTTCTTCACGGCCCTGTCCTTACTCAAGTCTCTCGACAATGCCTCTCCTGAAACACCTTCCAAGCTGTATCTTCTCTCTTAGTGGTCATGCAGCCCAGCCGCCAAGATGGAGACCGGGTCCGGGGAATAAAGGGAACACAAGAGAAGAAGGCACAAAGGACGGATGGCACATGGTAACAAACGTTTTCATCTCTCAGATACGACCACGGCTCGCTGGTCCTTTCATAACTTATTCATGTTGGGTCCCCAGCAGACTTGCTTTGTTGTGTGAAGGAGAGTGGCCTGCACCAGTCAAGGGAAATAAATGCACTTAGGTCTCCAACAAATTAGTGAGCCGCGGTGGCACGCCCAGACAGAGGCAGCCCCAGTACCTTTGACAGAGGAGGCCGCAGGCTCAGATTTCCACCCCTCAGGATTCAGTCCGAACAGGGTAGCAAAGCAGTCGCCCATCTCCTCTTCGGTCATGTGCTCACCTGAGAATCGTAAAGGGAAGAGTGTCCATTCAGCTCTGGGGACGACGCATCATGTCAGAGCTTAGCATCATCGTTCCGAGGTCTTAAAGAGAATTATCCCGCAATTTCCTTTTCTTGAGACACAAAAACAATCTACGGGGTCCCATGTTACTGTCACAAATCCTTCCTCATATGGGGGTTAAGAATGGTGCTCCCAGGAGGGGAAAGCTGTCGGGGCGCATTTGGAGAAATAAGACAAGTTTCTGATAGCCTGCACTCGGCTTCAGTTCACCTTCCCTCACGCTAGAACCACGGGTTAGACCAAGAGCAATCGTTGTCCAGGGAGAAAGCCTACCTGACTTCCTCACATACAATAATGAGGGAAACAGTAGGTAAAAATGGGAAATTTTACCTTGGTGTGGTTTTACCTCACCCTTGCAGCCCAATGTCATAACAGCCCAGTGAGACTGGTGGCTAGCCCTTTCACCCCCGTTTTACAAGTGAGGACACTGAATCTCACAGGGGCTCAGCAAATTGGGACATAAATCACACTTAGGGACCCAGGACGGTGCCCTTCCTGTCACCCCCCATTTACCAGCTCTGCGGATCAGCAGGTGGCATCCCTCGTGGTTTTTGGGGAAGCAGACCCCCCTGCACCGTCAATTAAAGATGCCAGGGGGTCTGCCTCCCCAAAAACAGCTCCTCTCCGGTGGCAATAGCCCAATGATGTGACAAGATACTCCCTATTTATGGATTTACCTTTCGTTAGAAGCAGTTTCAGGAAATCTTCTCTTCGTATGGCCTTCTTTCCTTTTGAATTGGTAAAACCAAGAACATCAAAGCTCTGCTGGATGCCGCTCATGGTGTTACCGAAAGGTGGTCTGTGATTGAGGTAAACTTTGAAGAAATCCGGTAAGTTGATTTTGTCAATTAGCTTTCCAGTGTCCACATACTCACTAAATCTGATTTCATTAAACATATCTTCAATCTAGGGAAGAGGTTATTAAAAAAAAAAAAAAAAAAAAAAGACCAGAGTAAGCATGAGAGACACTTTCGGGGCACCTGGGTGGCTCAGTCTCAGTTGGTTGAGTGTCCAACTCTTGGTTTCGGTTCGGGTCGTGATCTCAGGGTCGTGAGATCGAGTCCTGTGTTGGGCTCCATGCTCAGCAGGGAGTTGAGTCTGCTTGTCCCTCTCCTTCCCCCTCTGCTCCTCCCCTGCTCTCTCTCTAAAATAAATAACATTTTTTTAAAGAAAGAAAAGACACTTTGTTACACTTCTAAAAATTGGACAGTAACAGACGAATGTTTACAGTTAGCTGAAAACCTGTCTGTTGAGGGTTGCTTATATCCCCCAAGAAAGAGATGTGGACGTCCTCAGCCCCAGGACCTCAGAATGGGACCTTATTTAGAAATAGGGCCATGGCAGACCTAATTAGTTAAGATGAGATCATACTGGAGCGGGATGGGCCTTTAATCCATTGTGAAGGGTGTCCTTATAAGAGGAGGGGAGAGACACACAGGGAGGGGACAGCCATGTGATGACAGAGGCAGGGAGTGGAGCGAAGCAGTTCAAGCCCAGGGCTGCTGGTGGCCACCAGAAGCTGGAGGCGAGGAAGAAGGAAGGACTCTCCCCTATAGATTTCGCAGAGAGCACGGCCCTGCTGACAACCGGATTTATCCCGTGAGAGGGTACATGTCTGTTGTTTGAACCCACCCAGTGTGTGATGCTTTGTTGCAGCAACCCTAAGACAGTGGCCAGTTTTTCAATACTATCAGCACTACCACATTATTACCACCTCTTACCTACCCATCTCTTAGTGCATTGACTACTTCCTTGCTTTGTCAAGCAGAGGTTAGTTTCATTTAGAAGGCAGAATCCTCACAAACTTGGAAATGATAAGAATAAGCAAACAATTCCATGTGAAACTCGAATATGGGACCAAGGGCCCTAGTAAATTTCAATTAACTGCACTAGGATTCTTTTTTCTTTTTTTTTCTTTTCCATTTTCAATGTGTACTATTTTATATATACAAAAGATTACATGTGACTTACGGGTTTAATTAAAAAATGAACACCTATGAAGCCATCGTTCATTGAAAAGATCAACCGAACTGATAAAAATCTTTAGCTAGAATAACCAAGAAAAAAAAAAAAGAGAGGAAAGACTCAAATTACTAAAACTGGGACTGAAAGAGGGGACGCCAGTACCAACTTTTCAGAAATAAAAAGGAGGGCAGCTCTTTCTGCCCACAGGTCTTGTCCCCATGTTTTAATAAAACCACCTTTTTGCACCAAATAAATAAATAAATAAATAGAAGTATGAACAACAACAGGTCAACAAGATAACTTAGATGAAATGAACACATTCCTAGAAACAAATGACCAAAACTGACTCACGAAGAAATAGAAAATCTGAATAGACCTATAACAAGTGAAGAGATTGAATTAGCAATTTTAAAACTTCCCCAAAGAGGAGCACCTGGCTGGCTCAGTCAGCAGAGCATGCGACTCTTGATCTCGGGGTTGTGAGTTGAGCCCCATGTTGGGTGTAGAGATTACTTAAAAAAAAAAAAATCTTAAAAACAAAACAAAACTTCCACAAAAAAAAGCCAAAGATCAGATGGCTTCACTGGTGAATTCTACCAAATACTTAAAAAATACCAATTCTCCACAAACTCTCCCAAAAACAGAAGAAAAGGGAACACTTCCCAATTCATTCCTGGAGGACTGCTTCCTGGTTTGGAAATTCATTATGCATTTTCCAAATTTTCTAGAATGAGAAAAGGGTGCTGACCTGTCTATGGATTCAAAAGGAAATGTGATGCCAGTTAATGCAGGTCTCCACATGGCTCTCCTTAGGGAACCGCCAGAATGCAAGAAAGGGAGAAATACAAAAACAAACAAAACCCCTCCTCATTGCCATCCACCACTCTCTGTGCGGTATTTTTGTACTATGCACACTGCAGTCAGCTGAAATTCAGAAACCTGAGTTATACCTGGCAAAGGGCAAGAAATGAGTAATTTATTTTAATATCTGCATTTTAAACTGATATGCTTCCTAACAAATTGTGGGGCTTGGAATTTTACAAAAAGAGAGAATAAGGGCCACAGAAAAGTAGGAAATATTTTTTCCCCCAGAACATGAACTCTGCTTTGGTCTGTAGGAATAAATCAGGAATTGAATCTATATTTGTGCACATTTACCAATAGGCAACCAATTTCTCCCTGTCCACTAAATTTCAGAGAACAAAAATCAGGAAGAGCACCCATTTGAAGCTACACTAAATATCAGCTTGTCTGGGGCACCCCAGTGTCTTGGTCTGGCCCCAAGTATCAAAAAGAAAATAAAAGTCTTTTGCAGTCCAACCATCCAACCATCCAACCATAATTTCTGTGAAAGATTTGACATACTTTCTTTCCATTTCCCCACCCCATGCATATAAAATATATATGTATATGTTTTGCAAAATTCTTATCATATATGTATATAATTTTGTATCCTGGTTTGTTTTTTTTTCCTTTAACACTGTATCTTAGTAATCATCTAGTATTTTCTTTCTTTCTTTCTTTCTTTTTAATCACCTAGTATTTTCAAAGAAGCCATATATTTTCAATGTAACATTCTAGGAATGGTCTTTAGACATAACATCATTGGTTACAGATGAGAATGAACTTTAATTGATACTATATAAGTAACTTTAAGTGGTAACATTTTCATGTAGAGCATTTATTGAGTTTATATTATGTATAATTGTGAGTTAAATTATGTATAATTTTATGTATAAATAAAACACTATCCAGTATCATATTATTTACATTTTGTACTATATTAATTGTAATTGTATTATAAACATGTGCTATTTACTATGAGCCAGTAGAGACTAGGGCTAAATGTATGATCATTGATGACAGACCTAGGTTTAAATCCTGACTCTCCCATTTTCTATCTGAACTTCTCAGTTTCCTCACCTTGAAAAAAGGGGTAACAGGAGTTTTGAAGTTCACTGTGACGATGTATTTAAGGTGGTAAACATTAATGCCTAACACACGGTAAGCTCTCAAAAAGCAGTAAATACTCTTGTGATTATTATACTTTCTATACCTTTGCTAATTACGATACATGTAATTATAATATAAATTATAATTTATAGTTATATAAATTATAAAGTATATGTATGTTATAACTTATAATTACATAAATAATACACATGATATATATAAATTATAAATGTCACACACGATTTAACTCAATTCAGAAATAGAAGACTAACCCAAAGATAACAAAAAGGAACTCAAAAGTGGGAGTTACTCATACCCAGAGTGTTCCAGAGATCTCAGTGAACATTCTCAGCACAAACCACTGAGCAGGTGATTCACCTCTTACTCTCTTCTCCCATGGGACTGATCAAGAATCACTGCTCAGAAAGCATAGAGTTGGCATCATTGACATTTTTCTCCTGAGCCTCCTTTGCAAGCGTTAGTTGAAAAGACAGATTTTGCTACATGTCTAAACAAAGTTCACGCTTGGGAGAGGAGCCTTGGAGACAGAATGGAACGCTGCGAGCCTTCCCCAGGCCCCAGTGTGAAGCCGACTCCGAGGAGCGGGGGCTCCCATTGCCCTGCCCAGAGCGCTCTGCTTGGCTTCAGCCCTGCCTTTATTGCCATTCTCACGCTGGCCCTTCCTCCGCTAAGGCTGGGCTTCATTTGATGCACTCGAGGAGCTTTGGACATTAAGCTCCATTCCCAGAGATCCTGATTTCATTCGTCTGGGGTGGAGTATGAGCAGTCATAGTTTTAAAAAGCTCCTCAGGGGATCTGAATGTACGGCCAGGATTGAGATGCATGACTTCAAGGCAGGGGTTCTCAAGCTTTGTCAGGGGGTCAACATGACTGGGAGGGCTTATTAAAACCGACGGCAGGTCCCACCCCGAGTTTCTGATCCAGTGAGTCGGGGAGGGGGACGGCGAGATTCTGCCTTTCTTAACAAGTCTCCAGGTGATGCCAATGCTGCTGGCTTGGGGGGCCACCTCTTTGAGAACAACTGCTCTTAGACCACAGAGCTTCGGCAGAGGGGATACTTGTTCCAAAAAGAATCGGGACCAGGCTTAGGATGTTCAGTAGAAAGGCGCGTTGTAGCGGCCCAGAGAAGTAAGAAAGGAAACAAAACAAAGCAAAGCACACAATGCAGGCACAAGGGAGGTCATGGGAGAATTTTTCTTAAAATATACAAAAGGCTTATTTAGAAAAACCACTTGCTGCCCTAGTTCATTTAGTTCAGTTTACTAGCGGTTACCGAACATTTGGTTTCGTGCTAGGTGAATGGAAGGCAAGTCACTTAATGATGACAAGAACAGCCCTGCACTCTAGGACTTTTCGGTCAGCAAATATTTATTAAACACCTGCTAGGTGCCAAGCCCTGGTCTGGGCCCTGTGAAGAGACAACGTACACGGAGAGAGTGAACCAAAAGGAAGGTTCTGTCACTGTGGTTTGGTTCTCAGCCCTGGCTGCCCTCGAAGAACCCCCAGGGGTGCTTTTCATCACTATCCTTGCCCCTAGATTCAACTGCTCAGGAGGGCGGGCCCAAGCATCAGTACTTTCTAAAGTGCCCTCGAGTGGCTTAATCTGTTTGGATACCGTGGCTCTGAGAGATTCAGTGCCAAAGGCAGGCGCTCCACGCCAAGAGCTGGAGGAGCCCTCAGCGAGGTGGGCCTGGGAAGGCTTCATGGAAGAGGTGGACTGGGAGGACAGCCAGCGAGGATCCAGCCAGTCTATGAGGGGGAACAAGTTGAGGAGGGGGCTCGAGCGGGGGCTGCCTAAGAAACTTCCCCAACCCCTTGCACATGGCCCCTGTCACTGTTGTAACCACCGGCGACAGGTGGATTAGGCTTAAAGCACACGAGCTGGTCTCCTAGTTCTCAAGGTCAGAAGTCTGAAACGGGTCTAAAGAGCTAACATCAGGTGTAGGGGGGGGCTGCGTTCCTTCTGG